TAGCAAGCAAAACGTGTTTCAATATTTGATAATTTTTAAAAGTTTATTTTTTACGCTTTCATAACATAGAAGGCTGTCCGAGTATTATGAAAAACTCTTTTCCTACATTTGATTTTACAGTTTATGTTAGTAGCATGTCGGTAATAGTGACACGAGCTGGATGCTCAAACTTAAAAATGTATGAGATTCAGCACAAATGTGTTGGTGAATGCATACATGCATCCATACTAACCACGCCCTACAAGAAACTGCTGATGGGTTCACCAATACACTCACATTTGATATGTCAGTACTGACGGTCAGTTTATTTTTTTATTTATTTCATCGTCACTGTTATTGTTAAAATGAGACCCTTACGAATTATATTGCTTACTATAGCACTACATATGTATGAATGAAATCGCTGCATTCATTTGTGTTACCACTGACAGTCAAATCAACAGTAAAATGATTGTCAATGTTTACGATTTTTCCAAAAGCAAATTCTGTATACGTCGAAAAGAGACAGCATACATTTCCATAGAAGTTTCGAGAAGTTGTAAAATACATAGCTGTTATTCCGTGCGATAAACCAAAATTGTTGCGTGATCCTGTGCAATAACTCTTTTTGTTTTAAAAAACAATAAATAAATAACGAAGGAGTTTTCAAATATAATATGCGTAAGTTATTATTAAGTTTCTAAAACAATTATATTTTTAGTTAATTTTCATTTTTATTTAGGAATTTTTAAATTCCGAAATATCCATGAACTGAAGAAACACGTACAGCAGAGCTTTAGAGAGGAGCATGCATGGAATCAAGTGAAAGTTTCTTTTCATAATTTATTATTTAATTATGTTTTTGTTGCACTCCTTTTTTATATTTATGTATATTATTATAAATAATTTTAATTAAAAGTTTTTAATTTATTAAAGACATGCAAATTTTATTATATACTGCACAAAAAAAAGTTTCATTTGTGATTGCTTTTCAGTTATAACTGACAAATTTCAGCTTTGATGAATTTATGAGCAGCAATGACTTAGGAAAAGGCATGAGAGTGAGCAGTATAAATATATGGTGAATCAATTCCGTATATCCATGAGTTAAAGAGAGAAGCAAAATCACACACCTGTTTTTGCTTACATCAGTTTTTGTACAAGGCTCTTAAGAATGATAGAAACTTTGTTCTGCGCGCTGACAAAATTTTTTCAGCTGTGACTATCACTGTTCTTGTAGGGGTCTTAGCAAGCAAATGTGCACCCACACATACTTTTAGAGTTAGCGCTAACATTTAGTAGGACATGCATATGGTGCTTAAATATGATGGGTGCAAACACACACACACAGGGACACGTGCTTAGACAGGCCCAGCTGCGAAAACCTACATAGTGAGATATTTTCGTACAAAATTGTAAAAAAAAAAAAACAGCAAACACGTTGAACGACATGGACAACTTCAATTGAGGTCATGTCCAGACACCATCGACCCATCACTACTGCCAAAAGTGACGATGCCATCAATGAAAACAAGTTACCCAAATATCTACATATGTATGTATTGTATATATACACACACATGAATGCATAAATTCAACAACTAACCGCCAGCCACTCAACGCGAACTAACTAACAACCAAGCGGACTAGCAACAACACCAACCGCACCGTCAGAAACGGTGGAAGTGGCAAAGTAAGTAGCGGCTGCAAACACATGTTTTTAGAATTTTATTATATATTTCTATACACCCATACATTCAATGTACTCATGTATACTTGTATACATATATATGTTTTCATAAATGTTACTTCGCAATTTTTGTCGACCACGTCCCCACATCGCTTTGCTCACCGCTCCACTCGGATATAAAATATGCGCGTAATAGTGTTACATCTTGTAAATCATATGTCACATACACACCTACATATGTTTGTAGGGACGTACGAAGATCACACTTATAGGCATACATATGTATGTATTTAGTTGTGTATTGACGTGTATTTGCAGCTTCAGCAACCATTTTTCGTTGACATCTAATGTCGCAGTTAACAAACTACGCCTAAATTGTTCAAGCCCTTCTAACTCCTTTTTTACCGTCATTACCATTCATCATACTCCATTACTTACCTTCATACATCGTATAGAGCAAGTCGGCGCTGTCATTCGAAATTGTTCTACCTTTTTTCTCGTTATACTTGTATGTATATATATGTATATGGTATATAACTATGGATATTTCTTCATTGTTTGAAAATTTGCATGAAATATTAACGAAATATTTAGAATTAAGCGAAGCTGTTATACCCTTCACAAATACAAAAAATTCCTTGCAAAAACTTGGTTCCCTATTGTTCAGTATGGCAGCTATATGCTGTAGTTATGAGATCTGAACAATTCTTTTGGAGATGGATTATTGCCTTAGACTATGACCCTTACCAAATTTCGTGGAGATATCTCGTCAAATAAAAGAGTTTTCCATACAAGCACTTGATTCCGGTCGTTTAGTTTGTACCGAAGCTCTATGCTACAGTGATCCGATAACGGCGGCTCCGACAAATGAGCAGCATCTTGGGGAACGTGTGCAAATTTCAGTTCGGTATCTCAGAAACTGGAAGACTTGTTCGCATATATACAAACAAATGGATGGACGGACATGGCTTAATCGACTCAGCTCGACACGATATATATTATTTAGATACATATTTTATAGGGTCCCCGACGTTTTCGTCTGCGTGTAACAAACATCGTGGCAAACCTAATATAAGCTGTTTAGTTGTTTACAAAAATTTAGTTGGATTGGTACAACCTTTTTTATGTTCTTATGTAGTTTGATTTCCATATATTGATTGGCGTGTATTTGGAATTTGGTATTTGCTTGTTTACAACGCCAAAAGTTTGTCAGGTGATTTTTATATATTGGATCAATAAAGTCATAGTGCCGTCCCGGAAGCGGATGTTTCAGTTTCAAAAACAGAAAAAGTAACAGGGAGAAAAATCTGACGAATATAGGGGATGAGCGATGACTGTCTTTTTGTGTTTGACCAAAAATTCAGTCGCACTCATGCTATATAATGGGATGATGCATTTAGGTATTTTGGTACGAAGTCGCGCTTCATACCCAAAACATCGGTCAAAATGGTTGAGTCGATCAATAAGACATATTGAGATCCTCTGCTATCTCTCTAATGTCAACACGACAGTTTTTAAGCACTATTGTTTTAACTTATTCGTTGTTATCGTCATTAATAGAGGTGGATAGGCGATTCGCATGAGGCAAGTTTTCGATCACTTCACGACCTTCACTGAGTGCTTTTGCGACTCAAACTCTTGTGTTCATGATAAAGTTTGTAGAGTCTCGTCGATTGTAATTTCATTGCGAACAAAAAATTGCAACCAAACTTGTTACATTAAAATTTTTCGCGTCATAAACAAACAGCTGCCAAAATAAAATTTTACCCATTCGGTTTGCGTAGTTTATGGACCAGTCCGAGTAAAATTTTATCAGATGGTATCTCAGGTTATTCTGGATAGGCCGCAATTCGAACTCACGAGCTCCGATGGGTGATGTTTGGACTCCAAGGAAGCTATTCCCAGAGAGGGTGTCAATTTAGGTGTTTATAACTCCATTGTGAATAGCGCACTGAAATTACTTCGGTATAGTGCTGTATTTCAACGACGTATTATAAGAAAATTCTCTTAATTTTTGCAAGAAGCGATTCCACTCTAAGCAGACGACTGCAAAGATAATTTCTACAAAAGCTTGGAGAGAAGCGCATTATCTCCATTAACCAGGAGCATACGAGCCTTACAGTGCAGTTGTTCAATATGGCACATCAAGAGGCACCCTCTAATTGCGATGCTCTAACAAGTCAATATCTTCTTCAACTACATTATGCTGCATCCAGTTGATCATATTGGTGTTACTTGTTTATAACCGATCTGCCGCTTGACTTTTAAGTTGTCAGCAACGATTCCTTTCCCCGAATGCTATCGCCTAACGCTTTGAGATTCTTGCTGCAGTATGTACTGTGGTAATGATCGGGGTGTTTCGTCTAATTAATAAATATTATTGATATGAAAATAGAAGGGGAGAGCTTAAGACAGCTTAAGCGAGAAAGATTGTCGGGATAGGCGTTCACTTTCAAAAATACGTCATCGATTGCGACGATGATATCGTGCTATCATTGTCCATCTCTTCAGCACTAGAGGAAGCGTAGATTATTCAATGTATTTCGTAAAATGTCGCGCTCGTTTGCTAAAACTACTGCTGCAGCTGAGGAATTCGTTCTAATTTCTGCGTAAACAACGATCATCATGCGGAATCAACGTTCGCCGACGATTATATGAATTCTATGAAGTTAGCTTTGTTTAAGTTAACGAAGGTACAGAGATTCACGGAAATAAAGTTAGAATGTCGTTCGACGCAGGTGCAGTTGTGCGCGGGCAGCATACGGCAAAACTGGTTGTCCATTCCCTGTGTCTTAAAATCTGAACACTCCTTAAGATGGCTCTATCCATTACATGTATTCTATCTGACCGATGTGGAATTTGGATGAAGCCTTTTGCCGCTCCCCCCAGACCGGACTATTCAGAAAGATATGAAATAACCCTGCTGCTAGGTGTTGCTCTAATGATGATAGAGTTCATTTTTTACTTACCGATCTAAACAGGGATAGATGTTCTAAAAAATAGCCTTTGAGTGTTACTGTAGTATCAGGAATTAGTTTTATAACATTAACTACAATTAACTACTAGTGGTGTGAATCCCAGTTCAACAGGGCGTATACTGAATTTTAACAGTAGCTTCACAGTATTCTTTCAATTTTTTTATGTAACCTCTTAAATTTAGATATCGTATTTAAAAAATTTCATAAATGTTACACTTGAAATTAATAATCGTAATGAGGCAAATATTGAATCGATAAAACTCATACTTTAATTGAGATCTATTTGTATATTCTTTCAAGTCAGTCGGTTTAAGACAAATCAGTTTATTCTACATACATATATATGTGTCTAGTACTATGCATGAACTCATTTTATTCTTTTTTTGGTAACGAAACATATTTCGCACTTTCTTTTTACAATAGCTATTTTAGAATAAAAACCTTGTCGTCAAATGTTTACTTTCACAACCCAATGTATTTTTGTGTATTCTTGAATATTTGCTATCTGATAATTAGTATTTTTGAAAAACAACTTTTGGTTCAAGTTTTACACTCAGGAGGACTTTTTTCTCCATGAATTCATAAAGTACTTATAATTATACTTCATTTATACAATAACTGGTCACTTTCAAACTTTACCTAAGAGGATGAAATGACGATGTTAAAATTTACATGAAGCCCTTTATAGAACTCTGATAAAGAAAATGCACATATATTTTCTAAAAAGCACTATACAAATGATATTTGAGTAAATGTAATGAAAATCTGAGAACCAACTTAAGATACTTGTGTTCTGTGTGAATAAGGTGACTGAATAATCAAAATCTACATTGCGTAACTAATACATAACAATTTCTTATATTTTTTCTATATTTGTATATTATGTATTTACATTTATTTCGTGGAAATTAGCACTTAAATGTTTTTTATACAATTTTAGTTCATTTAAGCAAACTCGCAGCAGCACCGTAATAAAATCCAACAAACATTCCAATTGCATAATTTTTTTCCAATTATATGTTTATAAACAAGCTAAAATAGCTGATAGCACGAAGCTAATGCCAAGCGTTACGTAACCAGTCAAATAGACTTCAGTAATTTTCAGAAAACGGCCTGTATCCCATAACAAATGACGGACACCGCAGCAAGAATGAAACGCTAGTGGAAATGCTAAGGCAAACTTAAGTGCAACCAATGTTGATGAACCCAAGTGCAAGCCTTCAATAATGGTAACGTAGTGTGAAATGTCTTGCGAAGACATCAATGCACCTAAACCTAAAGCCCAGGCGTACCCGGTCAAAGCAAAACCTGTGCCTCTATGAGTAATTGATAACATCGATGTTAACTGTGGCTTATAGATAGTCAAATGTGGGGACAATTCACGGCCAAGACGTTGATTTTTTTCATCAAATGTTTCTGTCTGAATTGCCTCTGCTGCTGGTACGACCTTTAATGTCACTTGACGAGCCGGTGCAGCGACCTGCATCCTTTGAATACCCTGACGTAGGGCAGATGATCGAATAAGTGAACGAGTTATAGCATACCTATGTAGTTAATTAAATTCATATATTATTAATATCAACTTTTAGCCGTAACACTTACATTTTGGCTACTTTGCTTCAACTTTTCCTAGTGTGTATTTGTATGTTCACTTTGCTTTTGCTGTCAAATTGTTTTGTGCTTGTTCTTACGGAAAATATAACACTATTCGCAATGGTGATAGAGATCATTCCATTCAAATGACAGACCGCTTTGGTATTTAAATTTATTTAAATTGTGAATCAGTCATCTCAAGAACATGAAGAAGTTAATATGCAGTCATGTGAAAAATAATAGGGCCATATGGCGATGTGTCATACAAATCCAAAAAAATAAAATTTCTTAGTAAGTTTTTTGTTTTAAATATAACTTATGTACATACTATCTAATAATAAAAGAATTGGTTCGATTTATATTTAGAAAAAGTTTACTTATAGATTTTTTAACATTATTTGATTGTTAAGGTATTTTGATTATTTAGTGTTTGATTGTTAAGTCTATGTAAATTCCACCAATTTTTGGCATTTGACCTGAGGAATAGCTGTCCATGCTTCATATACCAGTGACTATATGGCATTTTGATTGACTGATTTTTTACCCATCAAAGCTACTTTCAACTCTCTTCACAAGTTCTCATATGCCCTTTGGGTTTTGTCTTCAGCATAATTGCAATAATGCTGTCATTGTCACCAAAATTCGTTATATTGAGCCTGACCATGGTAGAAAAAGCATCCCCCAACCATATAGGATTCTTCTCCATGTTTAGTGGTTTAAACTGTATTTGGTGGTTTGAAAGCGGTGTTCATTGATCTTCGAACATGTTTTGTACCACAGTCAGAATAAAATCATATGACATTTAGTCTCATCTGACCATAGGTTATTACGTCATTTCTTCTTTCGTTTCGACACATATGCAAGAAAATTTGTAAGTAATTTCTGACCATTTTATATTTGTATTAACATTAAAGTTTCTTCATTTGAAATAAAATAAAATAAAAAACTTTAAAAGAAGCGTTAGAAACCGCAGGTTCAATAGTTTTCGACTTCGGGGTTCTAAACTACATAACTAAAAGAAGCTACGTCCATATTTAATACACACATACAGTAAATAAAACTCTAATAACACACATGCATCCAAATAATTATTATATGCTTGGAACATTAACAATTGTATACGATTCATATATAATGAATATAGTTACATACATATGATACAATATTAAAATCTCCAAAATTGTTTACAATGATGCCAAACCAATGCTTGTTAATATAGTAGTCACTAGTGCAACATAACCGGTACCGTAAATTCCTTGCAATGACAGGAAGCTTCCGGTGGCTTCCCATATCAACACTCGGGTACTGGCGCATAAATGGTAAGAAAACGGAAAAGCGAGTAGGAATTTAAGAATAAATAAAGGAGTTGCACCCAATTGTAATCCATCAAGCATCGTAACAAAATGCGCATTGTCGTGCGAAGATATTAAAGCGCCTATGCCTAGACCCCATGTATAAAGACTGAGCAAAAATGAGCTTGCGCGATTTGATATAGACATAATGGAGGTCAATTGCGGTTTATAAATCATTAAATTTGGTGAGAAAAATCTCCCAAGGCGACGATTTTTTGCACCATGAGTTTCTTTTTCTCTAGGTTGAATAATTTTTAGTTTTATTTGCTGACATGGTACTGTCCTTACAGTTCGAACATATGACTTGCACAAATTAAAATGTGTACAACTGCGAGGTAACATATTTCTAAGAATGAAATATTAATAAGTATTTATTTTTATAAACTTTAATAAATAGATAATAACATAGATACATACTTACCATACAATAAGAAATTGGTTTGTTCGAATGAAAAACGGCTTTAAATTAAATGATAAATTTTCTATAACAGTCAATGATATTCAAAATTTTCTTCAACTCAATCAATTGTTGATAAGTAAAGCGTTATTGTGAATAATTTATGAAGGAGCGTAAAATATCGCATTGTAAATGGTTAAAGGGTATTTACCCAATAGGTATTTACCATTATTATTTTGTTATAGAAAATTATGCAGATTCAATAAGATCGTCAACTATTGTGAATTAAATGTGTTGCACTTTTGGTAAGATTCGAAAATACCACCCTGATGGCGTTTCTGAAATTCCGCTTTACTCGCATTCCATTCTATTACCTAGACGGATTTCGCGTGGCAGCACTCCATGTCAATTTTCAATCTTTCTTTTTGTTGTTTGCTGTAGACGTGAGCGCGTGGCTCGGTGTGACTAATTTCGTATAAAAGTCGGGAGTCTCGAATTTTCTTAGTTTTCAGACATAAAAAACCTATCGTAAAAATGAAAATCTACAAGGATATCATCACCGGCGACGAAATGTTTGCTGATACCTATAAAATGAAGCTAGTAGATGAAGTTATTTACGAAGTTTACGGTAAATTAGTAAGCCGTTCCCAAGGCGAAATTAATATCGACGGCTTCAACCCATCGGCTGAAGAAGCTGATGAGGGCACCGATTCCGCTGTCGAATCCGGCGTCGACGTTGTCTTGAATCACCGTTTACAAGAATGCTTTGCATTCGGAGACAAAAAGTCGTTCACACTCTACCTCAAAGACTATATGAAGAAGGTTTTGGCCAAATTGGAACAAAACTCTCCAGACCAGGTTGATGTTTTCAAAACCAACATGAACAAGGTAATGAAGGAAATTCTTGGCCGATTCAAAGACTTGCAGTTCTACACTGGCGAATCAATGGACTGCGATGGTATGGTAGCCATGTGTGAATACCGTGAACTCGACGGTGTGAGCACACCCGTTCTCATGTTCTTCAAGCATGGACTCGATGAGGAGAAGTGCTAAAAGGCAAACACCTAACAAAATCACACCTTTTATATATAAAATAATTATTTTTTGTTTAGTAAATACCGTTTAGTTGAAATTGTAAAGATTTCCTTGACATATGGTGCAGATCAAACACGAATTTAAGATGTATCACTTATATTTTTGGTCAAATTTTGAATATTATAAACTGTAAAACCGTAATGCTCTTCAGTGTAACTAAAATCAATTATGTATTTTAATTTTTTTTTACGAAACATTAACACTTCTCCATCAATGCTGCTTTACTGCACGATCTGCTAAGTCCGGCGATGGTAGGTTAATAAATGATTCAACATTTTGCAGCGTATACTCGAGTAATTTTTATACAAATTTTTGTTCTTTATTAATTTGTTTAAGTAGGAAGATGCAAAACAAATGAAAAAACTGCTTGTGAAAAACGAAACTGCTATTTTTAAAACATATATTTTAAGAATACGCAAAATAACGTTACGGACAAATTAAAGAAAACCATAAACAATCAAAAACGGCGTTTCATTTTTGTCTAATCTGTGTGCACATAACCTCAACAAGGTAATTAGGTCGTTGGCAAAAAATTTCTGGCGTCGGCAATTCGCGTCACCGTTGCAGCCAATATCGATGCAAACAAAATGGCGTTGGTGCTAGCACAAAATATCTTCGCTTCCCTGATAGACGGACTATTTAAGTGATAAGCAGCAAGTTTTAATTTTGAGGAACTACCTGTGCTAATTTTTCAGTACAACAATCAAGAAGGTCATTGGCGCAGAAGAAAGCAATGGCGCAACAACAATTCATTGTGTGTAATTGTAATTGTTATTTACTTGTGTTCGTATTCGTCGCTGAAAACACGGCTGTGTTGAATAAAAATATGCACAAAAGCGATACACCCATCTGTTGCATACATATGTATATCCCAAAATATTCATTCTGTAATTATTACCAAAGACGAAATTTTTATAAATGTGTACATACATATGTACATTATCGGATAAGGAACATCTTACCAGATCGAAATAGGTCGCATTTGATCCTGGTCAGGTATATTAAGTTTGCCACCAAGTTTGTAACACCCACAAGGAAACGTCGGAGACCCAATCAAATATATACATACATTTGTATATAAATTATCAGTGTGTTGAACTAAGTCGATTTAGCCATGTTCGTCTGTATATACGCGAAATAATCCCTCGGTTTTTAAGATACCGTTTTGAAATTTTTCACAGTTCTTTTCTCCCCAAAAAACTGCTCATTTGTCGAAATCGCCGATATCAAACCACTATAGCATATAGCTGCCATACAAACTGAATGATCAAAAACTAGGTCTTATATGTAAAACTTTTGATATTGATTTGACTTTGATAACTTCACGAAATTCGACATGGGTTATTTTCTAATGTAGCATATAGCTGCCATACAAAGTGAAAGAACAAATGAAAATCTTGAATGGAATCTTTTATTATTTGTGAAGGGTATTATAGCTTCAGTGCAACCAAAGTTAACGTTTTTCTTGTTTTATAATTAGGATATATGTGGACGTATAACCCCACTTAATCGGTATCAGTTCACACGTTTCTATTATTCTATCACCTATTCCAACGTTCACTCAACTTCGTATGTTAGCTTTACAGTTTATTGTATCTTGATGATTTTTTAGTACAAATTTTATTTTTATCTTGTATATATTTATAATACGTACATTATATCGTTTAATATACACACTTGTTATTATCTATTTGCTAAGCTTCATCAAAATTAAATGATGACTTCGTTATTGTTTCAAGACAGTTAAGTACGAGTACAAACACGCGCTTAACATTAACTGTGTTTAAGGGTTATTCAAGGATTTGATCACTCGTTGTAGTTAAAATGTTGATCGACTTTTGACTAATTCTTGAATTGGAATGATTTCACTAAAATAATCATTAAATAAGATCCTTAATAAAGGAATTTTCAATATTTTCGTAATAACTCAATTTTGTTATTCCTACATTCATACAACGCTAATAAAATAAATATCGCTACATAATAACAAATATTTTACGAACGCATATAAAAAAAATTAATTAGTAGAAAATATGATTTTAGAGACAAATCTTTTTTTCGAAAATTATCTACATAATCTATTTATATCGTACATGCGAGAAATTAGTAGTAAAACTAATAATTTCGTTTATAAAAAGAAATGCATAGAGCTTACTTTAAATATTTAAATATAAACAAGTTTTGTTCTCATATGCTTGATCCCAATTTAATTGATGCAGGATATAAATTATTCGGTTAGACGCATTCCTTTATAGTTGGTCATTATCATACGTAATCTAACTGTATAAATATCTGTTTAACACCAACAGACTCAAATATCATGCGTGTATGCGTCACAACATATTTGGGATCCACGTTTTTAGAAACCTCTAATTTAATTGCACCCACATAGACGTCCGAACATAATGTCCAGAAGTGAGGATCTTGCACAGCGTAAACACCTGCTAACCCAGTCACCTTTTGATAGCACTGCGGCAGCGCACGATCCAGAGCTGACGGTTGTCGTTGCATTAATATAAGTATCGATTCTTTTATAAGACCTAGCACACTCATAGCGATGAGTAATGCTATGAATATAGAGCAAATGGGATCGGCAATCATCCAACCGAACATTTGCATTAGCACTGCAGAAACAATAACACCTACAGAGCCAAGAGTATCGGCTAAAATATGTAGAAAAACACCACGCATAATTTGTGAATTGTTCCCAGAGATGTCATCGGCAATAGCGTGCGAATGTCCATGTCCTCCGTCATGACTATGGCCATGCCCTATGAACAAAAATTGAATGCAAAATCGTGCCAGAATATAATTGGAGTATGTATGTCCTTACCAACATCCATAGTTATTGTCTGTTGATTGTGATTATTTAAATCAATGTGGTTGTTTATACCATGAGAATGGCCATGACCACTACCGCCATGTGAGTGACCATGTCCACCGCCTCCTCCATGGGAATGGCCATGACCGTGTTGAAACGCATATATACCCACGAGATTCACTAGCAGTCCTAGCACCGATACCACAAACAGTCGTTCATGTTTTACCTCTGGGGGCTCAATTAACCGTTCCACACCCTCTGATAGAATGAAGAAAGCGATAAACAGTAAAAATAGACTGTTAACGAAGCCTGCTAATACTTCAGCGCGCACATAACCGTAAGAGAATTTATCATTTGCTTTCCACTTAGTAATCACCGAAGCAACTAATCCAGCCAATAGACCGGTGCAGTCAAAAAACATATGAAATGAGTCCGATATAAGCCCTGCAGTTATGAAATTATACATAAAATAGACAGACATACAAAGTATTTAGTTCTATTGAATATAATACAAGATATTAATTATATTAGAGGATATTTTAAATTGTTATGTGCGCTCAGATGCATAATACATATTTAGAATAATAAGTATAAAAATAATTTAGATTTTGTATTATTATTTAAACTTAGTTTATGAAATATTTTTAAGAAAGATGAATGTCAACTGATATTAACGCTTATCAAAAACACATACACATATTTACATCTGTATAATCTCTGTATATCTAGGTATATGAAAATATTAGCACGTGAATGCAAAGTACTAAATACGATTCTATTAATATAAGAATATTGAAGCAAGTGAGCACTGATAAGATTACTCCTCATTATATATATATTTTTTAAACTGATTTATTAAACTCTTGTAATAAATAAAGCAACATGGTTTATAGCGGATAAATAGAGATATTATAATAGTATACAGCTTACCTAAACTATTCGTCCATATGCCATAAAATAGTTCCACGAACGCAAAGCTTAAATTAAGTAACAGAAAGAGAAAAAGATTTCTTGAATTGCGATCCGAAAATATAAGACGCTTCAAACTGTTCAACTTTTCCTTAATGCGATAGCTGAAATTGCTACGATCCTTGTGCGTTAACGGTATCATTGTAATCTCTCAGCTGATATATGTGTTTGTATAATGTTTAAGCTGTAATGCAATTGCAACTATAAAAATATATCATAAAACTCATTCTACTATCTAAATAATAAGCTTGGACTTGCATACGTGTTTTTATTGATAGTTGCGAACGGGTAGAACGGCTTTGGGCTTGTTTAAACTTTTGTATATTTGTTGCTTTCAGCGGCTCTGTTGATATTTCTCTTTTTGACTCTCCAAAGCGTCTCAAGAGAAAATAATAATTTTACAACCGTTTCTATTTAATTCTGGATTAACATTTATTCACTAATACTATTTTTATTCTAAAATTGACTAACACCGACGAAATTAAGGTCTTAATTTATTTTACTTAGTCGTATTATCAAAATTAATTTATCGGAGCTTTCGTTTTGAAGTGACGTTTTGTTTTATGTGATGACGTTTATATTTGATAAATCGTTCATATTCTTCTTTATAAGAAGTTCACAAAAAAGCTTTAGCGGCAAAATGAAAGCATAATAAAGGTTCAAATTAATATATATAATATGTAAATTAAAGTAATAATTCCATTCCCATAGAGTGCTACAATGTAGCGAAAATGTGTGTCATGTATGACATTTAATAGTTAGCAAGTTAGAGGTTAGCTAGCAAATATAATTGTTATATCGCAATATTATCAGAGTAAAACAATATATAATTATTATAGGCTAATCATTATAGTCTTAGCAAATAAATATATTCAGTCTATTCAAATATTGTAAGCAATTTATCACTTGTCGCTTATCTGAATATTATGTAAAACAAAATGTAAAGTGAACGAATAAGCATATAATAATAAGAGCGAATGCAAAAACATCCACATGCTATACGCTTTATTTTACCCCAACATTGTAATTATTCACAAGAGAACGTAAATTCTAACGTCTCTAAAATTTACGTTCTCTGTATTCACTTATATAATCGAAGAACTTTCAAACCGATTTAACATAAATAAAATTTCTCGACTTTGACATTTGTAATTTTAACAACTCTGTGTTAATTCATCAATTGTTCTATTGTGATTGAGTAGTTTTCAATGAAAATGGTGTTGTGGTAGCACTGACAATTTCCGGTCTCCATCTTTTTGCTTTGGGTTTCTCACGATGGTGAGTCGCTGGATGCCGTTTTCTGCCTAAAAAAAAGTTTTGTTTCTGTGCCAAAATATTCAACAATGTGAAAATTGAATAATGCCTAAGCCAAAAGTACATCTTGCTAATTTTGTGATGGGTTAAATATAACGGGTTTATATTGTTTTCAATAAAATATGCAAGTTTAGTTCGGCACATGGTCATGTTAAGCATAATAGAGCTTGGTTGTAAAGGAAACAAAACTTATTGGATGTGAAATAACCTCAAATTAAATAATCATTAACATGGGTTTATAATTTATAGCCACCAAAGAAGGACGCGAAATCGTCGGCTAAACAGCCTCAAAAGACACAAAAGAAGAAGGAGGGAAGTGGTGGCGGTAAAGCCAAGAAGAAGAAGTGGTCCAAAGGCAAAGTCAGGGACAAGTTGAACAACCAAATTCTTTTCGACAAAGCTACTTATGAAAAGCTGTACAAGGAAGTGCCACAATACAAACTTATCACTCCTTCTGTGGTATCTGAACGTTTGAAAATTCGTGGTTCACTTGCCAAAAGAGCGCTGGTGGAATTGCGTGACAAAGGTAAGCTGATTGTTATATGTTTTTAATCAAACTTGCTTTAATGTATTTGTATTTTTTGTAGGTCTGATCAAACAGGTCGTGCAGCACCATTCCCAAGTGATCTATACACGTGCAACCAAGGGTGATGATGCGTAAACATTTTACCTTTCTACGCAACAGTACGAAATGTATTTAATGGCTTTGATGGTAGAATAAAGTAATTCATTTCCTTTTATAAGTAAAACTATGTGATTATTTGAAAATCATGGAATCATTGATGAAAGGTTCGTCAAACATAAGACAAAAGCTTTTAGCTGATGCAGGTAGCACGGTTTTGAATTAATCGATGTAAATGTAAATTTGTAAACATCCTTTGTTTTTCTTGAGAAATCTATAATTCCAACCAAATGTAGTACAAAATGTAGAGTTGACGGAGTAAGGGTTCAATATTCGATTTGGAACTCGCAGTGCATCGAGTTCTTAATTGCCATACTTTGAGGTAGAAGCAGACAAATAATTTCTGAAAGGAAAAAAGTGTGAAATTGTAAAACAAATAATTAATTGACGGAAGTTTACGCAAAATACTGAAAAGTAGTCTGACATTAAAATACCTAATTGAATACTTATCCAAGATATTACTTTCGAAAAAAAGAGTTTGATTGCTGACAAAATAAAAATGTATTATTTTGCAAACTTAAGCATTAAAATAGCAAATTTTTATAATACAACCTCAATCATTTTATCATCAGAGCTCTCTTTTCAAACCGTTTGTTTCATGGTTTCAGATTTGAAAAATTAAATAAAAATCATCAATTAATCTCCGGTATTTTAAGATAGTACATAAATAAAAATTAAATAAATTTAAAAAATAAGTATATTTAAGGTTTGTTCCAATTATTTTTGTTTAAAAATTGGCATGGAAATTATTAAACGTGCTACACTGACTTTCAAACTTCTGAAAAAATTTGGCATCACTGTTTATATTATCATGGAACGCACAACCAATTTTTGTGTTGCAATTTATTTTCTGTAATATTTTAGTTTTTTATATATATTTACTTTGCCACATTATCATATTATTCTACGTATTATCCTATATCAGTTATTTTAGTGATTAAATATAAACTAAATATCGCTAGTTACGGAGGTATAAATTGAAAAGTAAAATATTTAATTTTTATAAAATTTATCATAACATAATGCAGCCCTACATAGAGTTGCAAGGCCGCATTAATCGAAGAAGTACAATTTTCACCAGTAGAGGGCGGCATTGTACGTCTGTCATGTGATGAGTAAAGTTTTTCTCGGTCACCTGTCACTAAAATAGTCTTGGTATTTTGTGAGTTTTTTCTGCCAGTATTTTTTTTTACAAATTTTCGTTAGCTTTTTGCGTAGTTAAGGAAACATATTTATTTTAAAATATCTTATTACAGATAAACCGTGAAAAACTTGCAGAATGGCCCAGATACGCAGCGTTGTTCTCCACACATTCTGGTGGCTTTTCTTGGCCACTAGCATAGTGCTTATCTTCCAATTCGTTCTTACTGGCAAAGGTGAACGTGTAAGTGTTGGTTGGTTCCTAGCATCCACATCACCATATATGTGGGCATGTCTTGGAATTGGCTTGTCGGTGGCATTATCTGTGGTAGGAGCAGCTCTGGGCATTCATACAACAGGCACCAGCATTGTGGGCGGTGGTGTAAAAGCTCCACGAATAAAGACAAAGAATTTAATTTCAGTCATCTTTTGTGAGGCTGTCGCCATTTATGGACTCATCACTGCTATCGTTTTATCCGGATTGTTGGAATCGTTTACAATGTCCTCAGCACTAGAGAATCAAACTGTAATGAATAATAATTGGTTTGGAGGATACGTGATGTTTGGTGCAGGGTTGGCAGTTGGTTTGGTGAATCTATTCTGTGGTATTGCTGTTGGCGTTGTTGGCTCCGGCGCTGCGCTTGCTGATGCAGCTAATTCAGCGCTTTTTGTGAAAATTTTGATTGTGGAAATTTTCGGTTCAGCCATTGGACTTTTCGGTCTGATTGTAGGCATTTACATGACGTCCAAAGTTAAAATGGGTGACAAGAGAGACTAAGCTAAAAATGCAATGCAGGAGGTTGGTACGAGCAATTAAAAACACAGCACAGCTCAAAGAAAAGTACCATACATAACATATATACATGTCTAAATTAGTCAACATGCTCTTGAAAGCAATTAAAAATTCCACTCAAAAACAATGATGAAGTCTTTCACTCATTCTTCGTTTTTGGATTATACTTATTATCAATTCGTATTAGAAGTACATATTTTGATTAGTCAAATTAAAATTTATCTACCTAAAAGAGCACAATGGTTCACCGCAATTCGAAATAAGCCACAAATTACCCAACTCATTCCACATAATACAAATATTTGATGAGCAGAGTATTTGAATATCATAATTTAAATGTGTGCCAATAGGCCTAGAAAAAGAATTGATGATACTGCTCAACAGCAAAAAAAAAATTCAACAATATACGAAAAACAAAAAATAATGAAATTACGACTAACAACTTGATTCTCTCATTGGGGACAAACCGAAAATTCTGCTACAAAAACGATCGACTCTGGTATCATCAAATCGAACAGCGTCTTGGACATAGTTACAGTGCTGTATAGTGTGTTGTATTAAGTTTAATATTTGCTAATTTAATTAAGCTAAGGTAAGTTCGGCTGTTTAAGTCCGATTCAAAACGAATTTCAATAGTTTTATGTTGGCGACTTGTACATAAATATCAGCATCAAATAACATCTATACATACATATTAAGACATATGTATGTATATCAATTTACTTACTATTACTTTGAAATTCGATTTGAATCCACATGAGGCACGAACCATTAGATATTATAAACAAAAAACATTAAAACGAGTGTGTGTTCCCTTTTTGTAGATTATTTATTGTTAATGTATAAAGGATTAACCATACTTATTTTATACATTTAACTGCATATTAAGATTTATTGTATGTACTAAATTATCCAGTGTATAAAACGGCATATGTTAATGTATAAACAAATTTAACGAAAGTATTCAACAATAAATTTATGTTGCTGGTTCTCTTTACAGAAATTGTATGAATAATTTATTTTTATTTGCAAAACTTCTAGTTCTATACTCTAGAGGCAACAATTTTTTAGCACAATTTTAAGTAATGCTGCCGATAGTTTTTTGCCGGATACAAAACTGAAACCGTTCCAGTGTAGTGGAGATAGACTGCGACCTTTGTTGTTGCAGTAGTTATCTAATCTCTGCATGTAAAGTGGTGGTTAGAGTCATTGCACACAGCGACCTTTGTTGTTGTTATAGCTGCAGAATTCTGCCGAATTGACAGTCCTTGACCGGAATAAATCCGGGTCTGTTCCGGGCACGTAGACCCGACTGTCGTGGGCGACAGCGACCTTTGCCATTATCGTTGGTTAAATAAAATGCAATATCTAAGTATATAGAGGGCCATGATATAAGAATGTTTGTATTTCGTATATTTCTCTAAATAATATTAATTTACATAGATATAAACATACATTACTACTTATTTCATATATGCTCAACTATAAAATCACTCCAGACAAGGTCTGGATTGGATTCATTCAGTTGGGGCACCTCTTCATAAGATAGGTTACAAAAATTGTCTTCAGGAGCTTTGGATAGAAAGTAACTATCACCTTCCAACATGCTATTGTCAAGCATGTACTTGACGGACTCATCTTCCACTTGTGTATTTTTGGCATTTACTCTTTCGTAAATTTTTTCATCGGACACAGTTCCCTCTTCAGGTTGTAGAATGGCATGCCGATCCATATGCGTCCTGAGTGAATACTTTTTTATAAATGTCTTTCCACATATAGTACATTTATAATTCCTTTCGCCAGTATGTATGCGCTCGTGATTCTTTAGATCACATAATTGCGCGAAGCTACGGTTACAAGTTGTGCATTGATATGGTTTTTCACCGGTGTGAGTCCGCATATGCAATTGTAAGAGGAAGACACGTGCAAACCGCTTTTGACAAAAGGTGCAAGAATGTGGCTTTTCTCCGGTGTGCGTGCGCATGTGCACCGTCAAATTGCTGGTCTCATAGAAAGTCTTATGGCATAATGAACATGAATAGTCTGGCTTTCGAGCGTGACGTTTCAAGTGCATTGTATAAGCTGATTGGGTTTTGAAAGCTTTCGGACAGTGGTCACATTTGTATGGACGTTCTCCGGTATGTGTACGTAGGTGCATGTTGAGAGCGAAGTTGGACTGCATTTGTTTGCCACAGTATACACATTCTCGTTGAGACGACGTTGGCAATGTTTTACTTAGTGTATTATTGTTTGAATTGTTATTCCCTAGAGTAGTATGATCATTGGATTTTATACAACTAATACTATGATTTATATAAGTTTGCTCCGATGAAAAAGTGTGACTACAATTGACACAGTGATATGGTTGTAATAGGAAGTGCACTTTTTCCAAATGCCGTTGAAGATTAGCTGCCTGTAGGAAAACTGCACCGCAGGAATCGCATGTGTATTTTTTTTCGGACTAAAAAAGAAAAATTTTAAAAGTATTCCATAATTGTATTAAGCTTACATTTATTTGTGAAGCAGCATTTTCTGTGCACTTGACATCATTTGTCAGATAGTTATTGGGTGAATATATTTCTTGTTTTTGTTCTCCTTCACAGCTATTGCTTTCAAAATATTCCATTACTTGCCACTCTTCATTGGTTTCTTCTATTACATCAATGCAATTTAAATTAATATCAATGAGTTCCCCACTTTCAGGTATAAGTGCACTATCTAACACTGTATTTGTCGAGGTTTGATTTTCAATATTTTGTTCATTTAAATTTGTTTCCACAAAACTATCTGGATGAATTTCAATTATATCATTACGATCGTTTAAAAACTGTGAATCACATGTAGCCTCAGTTTCAGTGAAAAGTTCTTCATTTTTTACATCTACTGATTTTATTGGTAAACATTCCCGAACATCTCCGTTCGTGTTCTTCCATGAAACAACTTTTAGTAATTGTTGCGCCCGTTCACATTTCTCGCGAAATTTCGCAGCCACCAGTAATTCAGTCGTACATTCCTTGCATAGAAATTTTGGAAGATTGTCCGATTTTTCTACCTAAATATAAATATAAATAACGCAACTTGTTTCACCGGAGAATTCTCTATACCTTGATTCCTCCACAGCGTTCCAGTAAAGTGATTAGGTCCGTTTGAAAGTCTTCAATAACACCACCGTCGTAAATATGAATCATTAACTCCTCAAGTTGCAGACAAACTCTACAACATACCTCAGTACTATTTCCTAATGTCATATACTCTTCAGAATTCATTCCAAGGCGTTTTAGATGATTCGTTGCTATTTTGGGCTGCTCTGTTATATTTACGTATAGTGCACAAAGCAAAGAAAATTTTCTTCTGTTTTGAATAACGGCGGTATTTTTAGTAAAGAATGGCGCCGTAATGAAAACAGCTGATATGTGTTAGCAGAGAATGTTAAATAATCATTAACATTCTGTGGTCTTAGGTGTACAATACTAAAACAAAATAAATAATTGAAAGACCTAGAATTAGAATAATAATATTAATAAATAACGTTTGGAGTATATAGAGTGTCTCACATTATTCAATGGCGTCGAGGGATAGTCGAAAAGATTGTTTGGCTTGTCGTTTAATTAGTGGGTTTGGACTAATCGCAATGGGAGCATATATTTTTTCACAATCTAAAAATCGTAAAAAAATTGAAATGAACACTATGCGTTTGATTTCGGGAAGTAAGTTAACACACACACATTGTCTCTATGTAAATTTAACCCTAACAGCGAAATATATACTCTTAATGTTTTAGGTGTGGTGTTCTTAGGTTTGGCACGACTAACTAACGCAAGCTTTTTGAAATCAAGTAATTCCGACGTCTAGTTGTGACAACGAAGAGTTTCAGTTTTATTGAGAATTTCTTACTTTTTCATTAGATAGTAATCTTTATATAAGATAATCCTAATGTATCTATGTTTACATTCGCATAACACAATTTTATGTATGTATGTATACAAATACTGAATCTGTACAAATAAGCACTAAATAATTGTGCCTGATATTTCCACTCTTTATAACAAGTAAAATAAAAACAACTTTTGTTAAAATACAATTATATTATTCATCTCCACTATCTTCCTCAATATCAGAATTATCTGGTGCTTCACCAGTTTCTTCGTCGTCATCTTCATCCCAATGCTTAATCTTTTTATTTGTCATAAAATCTTCACGAAGTACACTCCACTCCGATTTTCTTTTCTTTTGTGTAATGGACGACGTGTGATCTTCGTCGTCACTGATATCTACTTTCTTCATATTCTCACTTTTTACAGGATTGTCAACAGCTTCCGACTTCGCTCGATTGCCACTCATAAGAACATCTAAGAATTTTCTTTTATTTATATTGTTTAAAACTGCATCTTTTCGACTATCCAATGGACCGGCGGCATCCAATTGTGTTTGGATGTCTTTTTGTTGTATGCGAACTGCATTAAACAACTGGACAACACCTCTAGTTGCAACTTTTCGCAGTACTCGTTCACGTTCAATATCTTTCCAGGAAGGCTTTACACGCAATTCCAGCGGCACATTCTTACGATGTTTTATTTGCTCATCAATATCTTCTTTTAACGGTTTTACATCAGTTTTCTCTTCACCTTCAACTTCGAAACCATAATCCAAAGTTTTTGATTTCAACTTATCGATCGGTTTGAGTTTTCTTGCACGGGATAACACCAATGTTTTCTTTGCTTTCGGCTTGGATGTATTAAGTACTTTGGCTATACAATCAGCCCATCCGGCGTTTCCTTCTGTATCATCCTCAGGATCGCCTTCGCTAGAATTTTCAACTTCGGAATCATCTGGCACTTGTTCTTTTGGTAGAGCTAAGTTAAGGGAAATATTATTTGAAAATATTTGTGATGTATTTAAAGAAAGTTTGATCTTACATTTCGAAATATTTCGCTTCTTAATATTAGATAAAGCCATAACGATATGTAGGTGTATTATCCACTCTAATAAACTCTGCACGTTGTTTAGTTTGTTTGCAACTGTCAAATTAACAACAATACTAACAATTGACAGAATGTCGATATTTTTAGTAGCATCGATATTTTAACCTTAGGCTGTGTGCTAATTGGTAACATTTTTGTTGATAACAAAATTTGTCGAAATTGACTTCTCGCTCGCAAAATTCACATCTTTGTGTCAAATTTATAGGATTTAAAGTAAATAATAATTTTCGCAGTCTCCATCGTTGGGGGACCTAAATTATACATTTACTTAAATAATAACATAAACAAATGAATAACGAATTAATTACATAATTTATGTTTGCAGCAGTTCTTTTAAATTTGTTTATTCATAATGCGATGGCCACATTGGCCAAAAACAGTTCGTAGAACTCAATACACATTTTTTTAGCAGCACAATCATAATTTTCTAACTGGAAATACTACTAGTTTACTACTAATTTCAACTACAGTAAACTTTTGACACATGCCGCCAGTAAATAGTTCACATATATTACATACATAGTCGCATCAGGTTTTATATGTTTATGCAAGTAACTTCTCCCGTGAAATAATTTTTGAAACTTGCACTTGCACGTATGGCCAAACGAAAGGATAACGGCCTAAAGTTCGAATATTTTAGGCAATAAGCACAGGTAAGATTCACTACAAAAAATTTGAAAATTTCACTTTCATCTGTCAGAATTTTCATTGTTCTACCCTTTGGCACACAGCTTAAATATAAAATAATCGTTATTTACGACAACTTAAAAGCTATCGACATTTTGACAATTTTCATTTGAGCAAAATAACATTTCTAAACCATTTCTGCATCATTTTTATACAAAGCTGTTATAAATTAATAAAACTCTGTTAAAATATGCTAAAGCTGAAATTAGAAGCTCTGGAACATCCAGCACCTGATAGTGTGGATGTTAATGGTAAGTCTAGTTTAACTTAAGAACGTACATACATTTACGTTTTTTATTTGATTTATAGATCGAAAGGTGTTTGCTAGTACTATACTCTGGTTAGAAGATCAAAAAATACGTCAATATAAAATTGAAGATCGGGAGGACCTTCGCAAAGTCGACGAGCTTGATATATGGGAACAAGCATACGAAAATTACAAATATGATCTTAGTATGCCACAATTTGTTATGCCGCTAGAAGAAATTACTTGGCTCTTGGGTTACGCCATCCGTTTGGAATTCCTGGATTCTCCTGAGAGTTACAAAGATATCAATTCCGTTGAAGTTAGTAAGCAGCAGAACAAATCAATAGCTCCTAGCATAGAAGCTGAGAATTTCTTTGACAACATGGACTGTAAGTTTTTACGAATATCTATCGTATCTATCTGATAAAATGGCTGACTTTATTAATTTTGTAGTTAATCATAAAGATTTCATTGCTGGTGTGCGCGCATTGGCAAGTAAACTAAAAATACCGCAACACCCAAACCATCTTATTCAGTTAGAAGCAATCGCACGTGTAGTACATGAAAGACTTTCTCCTTCCGCTAAACAACGACAGGCCATAACTGGGACACCTTTTCCCTTTGAAAAAGGCAATGATGTAGTGTCCGATGATCCTGCACTAGATTATCCCGTACGCATTTTGCGTCTATTACAAATACAAAGTTTACGTCAGTTGCAAACAAAAATCAATGAAACAATTGTTGCTGTTCAAGATTTGACTGCGAATCCAAAAACAGATACTAAGCTCGGAAAAGTAGGACGATAAAAATTGTATATATTTCTATGGAAATGAAATTGGAGCTATAAAATATTTATTAACTTAAAAAATCTCAAAATTGAGTTAATTATTTTTAATTGATATTCTAAACTTGTGTTTAAAATACTTTCTAAATTAATATATATTTATTATGCGTTACATATCTTACCATATGTGCGTATGTAACATATGATCTGGTCTTAAAAATAAATGTATACTGTTTACTTAATCAGAAGACTATGCGTTTGGTTGGGTGAATATATTTGAAGGGGATTAGCAGCGTATATTGCAGCAATTGGAAGATTCCACACCATTGTTTCTACGGGTATTTCAGCCGGAGCTTTGAGCTCACCTTCTGTTGGATTGGGTTTACCGAAATCCATCATTGTGCTTGTGACAAATTCAAAATGTAAACGCCACCTTAGCTCAACCAAATCACTGCGGAATGAAGGTGTTACGTGTAATGGTATAGGAATAATCACAGAAGTCTTCAACATAGCATAGCACATTTGATGAATGGTTGCCAGTGTGCTAACCTTTCCTACAGGTTCCTCGTCGTCAATATTCCGTGCGCTCCCAGATGTCTTTGATTTATGTAAATTATCTATTGCAGTTCCACTAGCAATACTTGCCAAGTCCAGGGAATTCACCGAGGATGCGTCATTGAATTCATTATTTGACTGATCGGCATTACTTTGCAGTGATATTTCTTGTGACTGCAGTTTCACAGAAAACTGGACACAACGTACTTTGCAATTGCTAAAGTCAAGGCTACCCACAATGTCTTCACCAATTTTATAAGATGGTTTAAACAAGCAAAACCGACCAACGAATCCACGCTTGTTGGATATGCGATAATATTTAGGCGCCCGACGGGCAGTTACATTCTACACATATAACAAACTTATATAGAAATATAAAGAAAATATTAAAGTTTTTACAATACCTTAAGATGATGCCATGATATTTCCAACTCTGAGATTTCCCTTTTCTCTAAAAAGGGATTAGTAGGTGCAAGCTCATCATTTGTTTCTTCGGTGCAATGCATATCATCGGGCCGTACAATAAGGGGTATGGGTAATACCCGTATAGGCACACTTAGCATTTGCACTTTAGATTTAACTCTCTGTGTGGCTATTGTAATTCTGTAGAAGTACTTAATGTCATGTCCCCGATATGTAGGTGGACCATTTCGAGGTAAAGTTTCATTGAAAAAATCTATATACAAAATTTAATTTAATTTGATTATCTTTATTATATATATAAAAAAAAGTAAAAATATTCATACTTACAGACTTTCGTTTCACTTGGCAGTAATTTTAAATCGCAAAATAATATCTTTGGTTTAGTAGCTATTAATATGTCACCACCAGCTTGTGCTCCTGCATCTAATGCTGTTTTACCAACTAACTCTGTTAACTCATTTACTTTGTCCCCTGAACTGAGGTTATAGTTCGTTTTTCGATAGCAATGGAGCTGCGCGGAGGCCCAAGCCAAGTACTCCTCTCTATAAATGTTGTTCCTGATATAAATTCGAAAATTTTCACCTAAGCTGTTGTAAATACCTGTTGTCATTGCCGCGATGGGTAAACTCGATCAGACACTCCACTCGTTCCCCTGTGGCATATATTGCAGAATCTGCTCGTACAAATTTTGCTTTTATCTCTATCATAGTTTTTAGTTTTCCGAATTATTCATTAGTTTAAGATTTTTTTTACTTTCATAGAGCAAATAAGCAGAAGTAACTTAACAGCTGACTGTCTAATATAATTGCAGCTAAGATCACTCTATTTGCAGATTTCATAATTTAAGCTTAAGCCCCAATTAAAAAATGAGGAATGAAAGTAATAATTAGAGAATGTTAATGAATATTCATTGCCGTTCGCTGATATTGTGGTAAGGGAACGGTAGAAGCCATATTTGAATTTGTTTTAGGCATAACATACAAAATTTACAATTATGATTAATTTATATTTATTACAAATGGTTGTTAATATCAGCACCTCATATAACCTATATTCGTTTAATTTTGAACATATTTCAACTCTGGCAACGTTGTCGATGTGACAGTAGAAATTTTGCATTTTTTGATTGAAGCGAAGACGACGAACAAGTGGAGTAGAGGATTTCGGAATTTGAATACTTGTGCTCTTTAAATTTAAAGTTAAGTGTTTAATTAATTAATTGCAGAATTTTGAAAGCATAATATAAAGTGTAAGTTTTATTATAAATATAACACATTTCATTTAATAGCATATGGATAAGAGAGCTATGCAAAACCAATTGGGTTTTTCTCAAGTCGGCAAATTTCATTTTTTTTCGTTCACATTGTCCCGACTTTTTCTGTGACCAGCAATGGCGGTGCTGGCGCAGAAAGTGCCAAAAGGAAAAAGAAAGAAACAAGAAAAAGAAATTTGCTGCCTACGTTGCATTTTTGGTGTCAGGCAACAATAGAATTAAATGTTTTAGGTTCTAAATGTGAAAATATTAAAAATTTGGTGAGGGTTAGGTAGGCATTATACATTACTGGTACTGTAATTAAATTGCGATAAAAATACTCTTGATGTCCCATACATTATATTTGCACATTTTTGATTTTGTCGGGAGTTATTGTGAAATGTTGCAATACTAATTGGTTAATTATGTGTAATAAAAGATCACAAATAACATTTGACATAATTATATGTGCAAAAAATATTTAATATTTCATTATTATAGTTTCATTTAATGTTTGTAGCGAAAGGTGAACAAATATAAATTATATTTTTAGTCATTACCTTGCTTTTAGGAAAATAATAATTTGTTTAATTAGGAAGTGTGAAGTGTCATATACAAAACAGGCTACATTTGTTAAATGGACAAGTGACCAGAAAATTTAATAAAATCAGTTGAAATTAGAAGGGCGTGGTCCACTGGCAGGTACAAGTTGTCTTAAAAACTACAATAATATGGAGCTTTTCTTTTAAGTGATTCAACAAATATGCAAATACATTTGTATAGTATAGGCGATCTATGATTAACTGCATTTATGTATATTTTATGAGCTGGTCAGTATGTGGTACTGAAAATCTTCTCATTCTTAGTTATTCGTTCATCATTAAAAATGGAACGAAACAGTGAGAGAAAAAGTAGATAAAATCAACTTTCAACTTCAAAATAGTAGAGTAATACTGTAGCAGAACGCAAATTTCATAGATTTTTTTTAATACTGTAATTTTGGTATCAGTAATGTCTCGGATTCATTAATTAGTAGATTATTAACATAATTGCCTTGTTTGCCAAAATAAAAGCAAAACATTATGCTATGTATTTCTCTGCCAAAATTGTGTGCCCATCCATCTACGTATTTACTTTTTTTTTTATATACCGATTACATACGGGTACTAAAAATTGCATTCTATATTTTACTTGCCTAAATCTTCACTTCACATTCATTTATATATGAATTTATATGGCTTTATAAAAACTGGTCTAGTATTTTCCAATAAGAATTGTTTGCAAATTCTAATTGAGCCTTCTGAGATTTAATTATAAGGATATTCGTCATATTAATAACTAAATAAATACTGTAAGATCATTTTAGTGTGCATATCCTGCCTTATTTTTTTATAATTAAAAATAAAAATTTAGTTAAAGCGGTTTTTGGAGAAAATACTTTCCGAATATTGTATTACAGTCTGTTTATGGTCATAATGAGAACTATTTGATTTCGTATGAAAGTAATACCAGAATATATTTGTATACATAGTGATATTTTTTGTTATGAATGAAAACAAATCCACACATACGATATGTGACATAATTGAATTGTTTTAAAATGCACATAGGAGGTATTTTCAAGAAACGTCTGTTTATCAAAAAAATGTTTATTTCTAAATGAAACGAATAATCTTGTAAAGATAACTTTTTTACTTAAGATGACGTTTTAAAATAATATCCTACTAATAGATTTTCTTTTATCCCTTTCGTCTAATTTACTACATTGTTGTTTTTGTGTGTATGTGTTACTGTCTGTCATATTTGTGTTGAGTGAACTTGCGGACTGCGTCATGAAATGTGTCAATAAAGTGTTCAAAATACAGCAAGTAGAAAGTGAAGAATTTACATATATACATACATATATTCTGGATATCTAAAATCAGCTTTTGAAATTTGAGTTTATTTGTTTTTCGCATACTTTATTGACATCATTTAGTTGAGCTTTAAATTTAAACTGTGCACAATCTTCATAATGCTTTACCTGCATGGTCACAATGTGTTTTATTTGCATTTTTGTTTTGCTAATCAGTCTTCAAATTTTCTAGCAAACTTTGCAAGATTTTATACTTAAAAATCAATCTTAAACTGTTAATTTATCCATAGTATTTGTTAAAACCATGGGAATTAATCCATTTTTGATCCATATATATTGTATTATTTTTGGGACATTAACAGTAATAAGTATCAAGTCGTGTTCAAGTCGGCATTTCACAATCAAACTCTTCCGGTTAATGACCTCTATCGGCTGTTACACAAAGCTATATAATAGGTACGTGGTCGTATACTTATTTGTTTTTTCATTTCGCTTTATCGTTGTTTATATTACTTGATATGCCACAACAAAAGTAACAAATAAATGTACATTAATACACACACGTATTTTGTTCAATCTACCGGCCGGCAAACGGTCGAATAAACGATCACTTTCCCCCTTCATCGCCCGCTTTTCTGTCTAACCCAAATCCAATTCATTAGACCGAGTCGCCCATCCGGCCCATTAATACAAGCATGATTACTGTTAAATCGTACATACTTAGCAGATATATGTATGTAGGTATTCATGTACATACATATGTACATATGTATGTATAAATGTCGTTTGAGACGTAGGCATTAATCGGTGATATTTATAATGCCGGATCTTCAAAAATTTTTATATTTGTAAACATTTACGATTTACGATATCATACTATATGGGAGAATTTGTACATATGTATAGGTGAAATACCATATATGTATGATTATTATTGCCATATTGTAAAATAAGCGTTTTTTTTAGATTAAACGTTTTTATACTTTGATGTTTACAAATTACTTACGTATGTGTTCTTTAATTCATCAAAAACATTATTTTTTATAGGTGGCATAAACTTTAACAAAAGAAATAATAAATTAATTAAACATTATTAGTATCAGATACAAAGTCGAAGAAGTTGCCAAAGGGTGTCCCACCACGACAACAAAGCATAATTATATTATATTTATCTGAGGGAGAAATAAAATATACTTGATAAAAATTAAATCTCCGTACTTTTTGAACGCTGCTCATGCTTCGAATTTTAAATATATCTTGTATATCACATGATCAAAAATAAAATTGTAGCCAAAAATTTTTTGAAATTGCTAACGTAAAGTTGATCCAGTTGAACAACTTCAATGAATTTGTAGATTACCAAGGAAATAAATAGTTTTGTTTTTGTTTATCATTATTTATTATACCCTGACTACCCAAAGTTTGTAACACCCAGAAGAAAACGTCGGAGACCCTTTAAAATATATATATGTATATATAAATGATCAGCATGACGAGCTGAGTTGATTTACCTATGTTCGCCTGTCTGTATATACGCGAACTATGTAGTCCCTCAATTTTTTAGATCTCGATCAGAAATCTAGCCTTGTTTGAAAAACTTTTGTATTTGACAATATATCTTAACTAAAGCTACATATGGTTATTGCCTGCAACATTTACATACACACATACATATGTAGCTGTCACAAGTCAGTTCGTTGGAAATCAAGTTATTGTATGGAGTTTTTGGTATTTGTGAAGAGTATTTTAGCTTCGGTGGAACCGAAGTTAACGTTTTTTTTTTGTTTTTTCATTCATTTCATTTGTATACTTACTTTGTTTAAGACTTCTTAATTACATATTTTTATTAATAATACATGCTTTTGTTATCTCTGCATACATATATAGGTATTATATGTATATCTATAAGGTTTGTTAAATATATACATACATACATAACTTTGCTATTTTTGGAAAACAAATGTAACGGGTTTTACGTATGCAAAATAAATACCTATGCAATGACAAAAATTATGAATAGGATGAGTTCAATCATGACTTTAACTATTTCTGTTCGTGTACGTGTGCTTCACACGCAAGTCTTAAAAGTTATAAAAATGCAAAGGCGTCACTCAAACAGTTAAACATTTCAGAAATGAGTCTCGCGTAATTTATCATGACTCAAAAAAATTTCACAGAAAGCAAAATAAAAACAAAATGTTAACAGCCGGTTTCACGAAAGTATTGAAAATTAATTTCAAATCTATGGGAACTGACTCACCAAAAGATATCAATTTTGAATTAAATTTCTGATTAAACCGGCTGTAAGAATTTAGAAGAACCCACTGAAAGTAAGTGTATTCAATTTATTGATGAAACAGCGCACCAATGAACGCAATCACCAAAATACATAAATATGTAAGTTTTGTTGTGGTATGGCATATTTTCATAGATGTATCCATCGCAAATAAACTTATATTTGGTATGTAAATCTATACGGATGGTACTGAATTTGATTTGTGTTTTCAATGAGTTTACCGTTATTGAACGGGTTTTGCGTCAACAATCTCCATAGATGTCTCTTGCATTTGAATGCATACAAATGTGACTTGGTAAAATTTGTGAATTGGGATAAATACATACATACATATGTATACGCGTACATATATTATACAAAACTAGAGGATGGAGATTGTGGAATATAAGTTAAGATTCATGTATGTTCGGTTTCCGTTGTTCATTTGGAAGTTTTACAATAAACGTTTTTACGATAAAGCTTGATAATAAAAGAATTTTATTAAAGATATTAAGTAGGTATTTAATTATTTTTTACATTATTGCACCCGTGCCGAATATATGAAATAATTTATATCAATTCGAAATAAAATACATCGTTTTAATCGTTTTAAAACTTACGGTAACGTGTATAATAGTTTCTAATAAATAAATTGTGAAACTTAATTTTGTTAATTAATAACAATTAAACAGTTCGTATTAAAACTGAACATTCAATAAATTTATTATAGATTTATATGTACATATATTATATGTAGAATAAAATCAAATGCTTAAAATTGAAAAATTAAGTCAAATACAAATTCATGCGGCCAAGCAATTAATGTGAATACAAAAAAAGCAAAAAAAAACAAGAATAAACGTTCAATTGCACCGAAACGGTAATACCCTTCACAGGTGCATTTCTTATAACATAAAAGAGTATAAAAAGAAATTTTGATCGGTCAGTTTGTATGGCAGCTACATATATGCAACAGTAGTCCGATCAGAATAATTTCTTCGGAGATTTTATTGTTGCCTTGGATAATAAACCGAGTCAAATTTCTGAAACTGGGGGACTAGTTCATGTATGTATGGCATATACAGACAGGCGGACATGGTTAAATCGACTCGGCTCGTCTCGCTGATCATTTATATATACTTTATAGGTCTCCGTCGTTTCCTTCTGGCTGTTACAAACTTTTTTAATACACCTTGTTTAGGTTAAACTTTTCAGAGGAAAAATTGATGTATTGCGTACTAATGTTTATGACTGCCGTATCACTTTGAAATCGTTAGATCGCCAACACTATATTTTGACATATTTATCAACCAAGTACCACAAAATGCAAAGCCGACGTCTTTTTATAAAAGTATGTGTATGTGTACTCAAAAAAAAAGTATAAATAATTTATCAAGATTACCAATTGGTATAATAAATTAAATATACAATTTTTGTAGGCACTGTGTAAACATACATTTGTACTTCCATACGAGAAGCTTGACTAAACAGAGCAAATGTTAAGATAAGGACAGAAGTATACCCAAAGGGAACCTTGAACATCGATCCGTAAAGAAGGTTGTTGCCCATATACATATATATGCAGGTGTACTTTGTACACGTCTTATAACAATATATATGTCTTATTTAGCACTTGGAAATTACCTATATACACTCTGTACGCATCAATCCAAAATTAAAAACATTTTTTGCTTTTAGTCGCCTACTCTCGGCATTGCAAATAATTGTATTTTTACTTTTAATTTCAAAAGTACACGTCATTATATTCAAACGTCCATGTCCGCAACTACTTATCACAGATTTTTGGCAATGAATTATTTGTTTATACATACAGATGTACATATGTTTGTCAGACATAGCTAAATATTTTATGAAATATACTATTTAAACCTAAAATGCGAATATTTCATTATAGCAGACGCAACGAACGGTTGTGTTAATGCTTTATTGAGCGTAAAAATGGCATTTCATTGATAAGATTTCCGTTTATTTCTACATTTACAATAAGTGATAAGCATTTCTGCGAATTGCAGTTGTATATTAATCGAATATATTTACATCGCGTCTTCAATTAAATTATTTTTCAGAAAAGAATTAAATTTCATCTACATATATACTTTTATATGTACATACAGATGTATATGCATTTTAAAATATATACATATGTATATCGCTAGATAAGAATAAGTGAAGTTAAAAATATAAATGCCTTAATAAGGCTGACATGGTTATTTTGAAAGCAACATATTAGCACAGATTAGTGTTGCCAGAATACACTGCGGAGCAGCATTCAATATTGTGAAACTAAATTTACTATTTTATGTTTTTTGCTTACTCGACTTTTTTTTTTACCCTTATCCGCAATCGCAAAGAGTTTTCCTTATTTATAATATTATATAAATTTTATTATTGAATTTTACCTCTTTTTTTTTATACCCTGAACAATAATATTAAGTCACATGTTTGTAACACCCAAAAGAAAACGCCGGAGACCATATAAAGTATATACATATGTAAAAGATCAACGTGACGAGCTGAGTCGATTTAGTCTTTTCCGTCTGTCTGTCTGTCTGAAACCGAAATTAACATGTTATTTTTGGTTTAATTGAAATATTTATTATTTAAAAATAATTATTTAAACAAACATTTTGGTAATTTCTGTTTTCCTCTACTATTTTTACGCAGGTTCGTTCGATAAAATTATGCAATGATGGACTTTCACTTATTGGTTGTAATTACCTGCATCTTTCTCGCTTCTCTCTGCTCGCTTCTCTTCATTAATAGCATTTTCCGACGTAAAACATTCGAAGATGTCGTTGCCGAAAAGAAAGCGTTTACTGACAAAATCTACGCCCAGAGCAAAGTGGCTGCAAAGAAACCGAAAAAACAACAAACCACGAAGAAGGATCTGAAGCGTGAGAAGAAAAAATTACAACGTGAACAACAAAAAGACAATACCGAGCAGGAGGACTCCGACGCACAGTCCGAACCAACATCAGTGGATGATGAGCCGCAGGGTTTGTCTAAATCTCATGTTGAATTCGAACCAGATCCAGAAGTAATTGTTGGCGCCACTCCAGAAGCCGTGCGACGCGCCAGCATCGTTGAGCGTGAAAAAGAGAATTTAACAGGCGGCAGTTCAAAACAGAAATCGAAGAAAGAGAGGAAGAGCAAGACTTCGGGTATTTTAGTAAACAAGAATGAACCAGTTGTGGTGCGAGAGAATTTGGTTATTGAAGAACCAGCAAATACTTTCGAAACGAAGCAACCGAAGGATACAGTTGAGTTAAAAAAACACGATAAGAAGGATAATAATAAAAAAGAAAAGAATGGTAAAAAAGACAAAAAAGATGTGACAGTCGAAAAGCCAATTACGTTAACTACTGAACAACAGCAGCCGCCAGTAGCCGAACCAGTTGTTCAACCGCAAGTTGCAAAGGAGCTTAAACAGCAGGATGAGAAAGTACGTCACGGCTCTCCAAAGGCACATGTTGCTAATAATGCCAGCGGAAACAATAAAACAAAACAACAAAATAAGAAGCAAAACAAAGAGACTGCTGCCACCAAAGAGCTTGTACTTGCACTTGATAAACTTTCAGATTCAGATACTATTGGCGTTTCATTACTCATGAATCTCTTCCGCCGCGCTGAACTTAATCGTTCCGAGATACAAATACTTATCGATTATCTGTTGAATAAGCAACAGGATACACCTGCAACTCATTCGGAATGGTCTGACGATATATGCCAGAAATTAAAACGCCAATTGGAAGAGAAGGAGAAGGCTTTGGCCGAGGAACAAGAAGCTTCCATAGGTATTCAAGCTAAATTGCGTGATTTACGTACAGAGATCAATGCAGAACGCGCCCAATTGAATGCCACTGTCAAAAATTATGTTGAAACGATTAATTCAAAAGAACAACAGATTGCTTCACTCAATCAGGACATACAAGCGCTCAACGATAAGTTCGCGCAGGAGCGTAAGCAATTCCAGGCCAAACTTTTACTTGAAAAACAAAACGGTTCCCAAGATTTGTTCGCACAATTGCAACGCTTACAATGCGAATCGACGCACAAGGATAAGTGTATTAACGATCTAACCTGCTTGGTTAACGCCTGTAATCAGGCGAATGAAGAGCTAAAACAACAAATAAGTATCCTCGAACAGCAACGTGAAGAGCTCGAACAAATCTCGAATAATCGAATTGTAGAAATCGAAAAATCGAAAACACTTGAAATCGAAAACGCTGAACGGCAATTGGAATTACATAACTTACAAAATGCGCAAGAATCAATAAAAGCCGATTTGACTCAAGTACGGCAAGATCTTGAGGCACGAAACACCGATTTGGTTGAGAAGCAGAATCAGATAGCCGCTTTGCAAGCTAAAAATAACGAGTTGCTACAACAATTGGCCGGCGTAAATAATCATGCAGCGGAACAAACTAAGGAACAATCTGGTTTGCAGGCCACATACGATGTACTCAAGCTACAATTGGCTGAGAAAGAGGAGCAATTCTCGGAATTTAATACTAAGCATGCTTCATTGTTAAAACAGTTGAGCTGTTTAGAAGCGCAAACGCAACTTAATGCACAAACTAATAATGATTTGCAAAAGTTGGTTCAGTCACTGCAGCAAGATATCGGTAGGAAGCACCAGCAACTGCAACAAGTCGAACAGACTGTGGACAAATTAAACCTACGCGAAAAGGAGTTACTGCAACAACTCCAGGAGCAAAAGGAAAAGAACGATGTAAGTTAGAACATATGTTACACCCATATAATACTTATAAAAGTGCACAAGTGCACGCCCACAAAATTCGCAAAGCTTATACCGCTCAAAGAAATTAGCTTACATAATTTTTATTTCTCCCATTTATTTTGTGCTCAGCAAATAACTAATTACTAATAAAACATCATTACTTTCACATATCGTTAAGAGGATTCGCATAAAATCCGATTACACTACAAGCATTCAATTATTACAGCTTGATACCGTCAATTAGTAAAAATTTAAAAACAGGTATTGAATAGACCTTTAGTTCCTTTTTTTAATTAATAAATTTTAATTTATAAAATCACAGGTGCATTTCTTATAATATCTTTATCTTGATTATGATTGGTAAGTTTGTATGTCAACTATATGCTATAGTGGTCCGATCTGTTCAATTGATTTGTTAGAGGTTGTGGCGTTGCCTGGAAAATAAGCTGTGCTAAATTTAGTGAAGATATCTTGTCAAATAAAAAAGTTTTCCATACAAAGATTGGATTTTGAACGATCAGTTTGGGGTCAGACGTTCATAGGGTCTCAGACGTTTGCTTCTACGTGTTACAAAATTCGTTAACAAACTTAATATACCCTGTTCAGAGTATAATTAATAATACAAAAGATTTATCCAAGTTGTTGTTGTTGTTGCTGTAGCGGCAGAATTTTGTCGAGTTGACAGTCCTTGGCCGGAAAAAATCCGGGTCCGTTCCGGTTACGTAAATCCGACTGTTATGGGAACGGTGTATCCAAGTCATTGTTGCGACTTTCCAAAAAACTTGATTATAACTTCCAGTTTTCATTTAATTATTCATGTATTTCCAATTTCTTACCACACACAGTTTCATAAATAATTTCGGTTTTCCACTTTTGTTCTTTTATTCTTGTACTAATATGTTTTCATATTTCGCTTTAGGATTTGCGTAAGAAAAACTGGAAGTTGGTTGAAGCTATACAAAGTTGTGAAACAACAGCTAGACAAAGTAAAGCGCCTACGAGCGTAAATGCAAGCTTAGTTGTAAGTGCATGTTTCAATCCATAACTTTTATAAACAAAAAACGTTTAAACAGAATTTTCTTTCACTTTAAAAGCTAATTATAACAATTCCTGCATAAATCTTTAATTGTTTAATTTTGTCTTTCAGCAACAGCAGCAAATTTTCACAGCTTCGCAAAAACAAACTTCCGCCCCAGCCAATACCACAACAGTTTCCGCTAATGACGAGAAACATGTGCGTGAAATATTCCAGCGTCTGTATCCAGAGGCAGTTAAAGCTTGTGCCAGCACCGCGCTTAGTGTATCTTTTGAGCAGTGGGTGGAACAGGTTTTGGCCACACAGTTGAAATTAGCTGCAGTCAATAAAGTAACTAGCAGCAGTAGTAACAAATCAACACAATCTAATAGCAACAGTAGCAGCAGTAATCACACCTCTTCAAGCCACACAAATAACAATTCACATAATGATAACTTAATCAATAGCAATAATCGTATTAGTAGCAACAGTAGTGGTGATGGTGGAAGTAGTGGTAATGACAATGATGTGGATGCAGTTGAACTGCGTCTGCAAAATAGTCAACTGCGCGCGAAGGTGGATGAGTTAACTAAGCTTGTTAAGAAGACTGTAAGTAAAAAAAGTTTGGTTTGAAGTTTTGTTTCGAGATTTTTATTGAGGCTTCAATTATTTATTATAAAGTCAAGTTAATGGGATTACATATCACGTAATATTGGAAGTATGTTTTACAAAAAGTCGCTATGAAAATATTTTTGCACCAAATTGTGGTTTACCAGATGTAAATACATATATGTATAGATAGTGTTGTTATACAATCCGGACAGAAATGTTCTAAAATAAATTTTTAAATTCATTAGAAAAGATCATAATTTTTGTAGTTTATGTATTCAGATGTTATTGCAAAAACAAAAAGCATATACAATATATATACATACATACATGATACATTAGTGTCCGTTGTTTCTCAAGTTGTTTTTGTTTTTTGCAAACGCCCGCTTATGTTTCAGTTTTGTCTTAAAAATGGATTCAGTATAAACAAGCTCTTAAAGTTTTCAATTTTAACCGTGCCTAAATCTTTTTACTTTTTCCATACATTTTACTTGGGATTTTTTGTTTTTTGCAATAAATTTTGTATCTATAAAAAAAAAAATAAACCTACTATTTTTAAATAATGATATTATAATACAAAATTTTCCGAAAGTTATACACAGTTAAAGTTATGCATCAAATGTATTGTATTTATACGATACACCATGTCGTATGAGCAACATAGAATGTATTGTACATATAAATCACTTGTATGAATGTTCAGTTTCATTAGATCTTTAAGTTTGACTACGTATAACTTTTAAAGGAATATTTTTATTGTATTGTATTGTATTGTAATAAAAATCAATAAGACCTTATTCTGAAGCGGAAAACTTTTTATTAAAATATCACTTTTTCAAAATTGTAGATTTACTGCCTTAACGTAAAATATCAAAAAATCTTTATTATGTTATGTACATGGGGAAGGAAATATGATTTCAGCACGATTTAAATTGAAAATAACGCGGTTGTTTACATTGCATCTTTTCTTAGGTCAAAAGCTAAAAATCTACTTTGCAAAAAAAAATCAACTAAGGAAATAACGGACGCCCTAATTAATATACATATGTTATAAGGAGAAATTTAAAAATAGTTTACTAAATTCAAACAGTTTTCGGTATAGAAATCTGTTATATACAATTTATTATCTTTGTGAAAGTAATAACTTTTTTTTTTAATTGATCTACAGAGTAACACATTGTCAGCTCTTGAAGGGCATGCGCTGCAAGAGCACGAGAAATGGCAAAGCATTTTATTAGCAAAGGATGAGGAAATTTCTAGATTGCAGCACTCAAATGGAGCGGAGGTGAGCTAACTAATTAGTTATAATATGTGTAATTATTGATTAAAAAAATTGATATATTAATTTTAATTAATTACAGGGCATTTAATGTCGCATCATTGGAGTGTGTTTAGCGTTAGAAAAATGCAATTAAAATGTAATGCCTTCCAAAATACAACAAAGCGTGAACAATATATGATACAACAGCCAACTACTTACATAGAAAAGCAGACAGTAACCATAAAAGTGGAATATAATGACTGGCATAACAAAATATGCCAATTGCAAGCATATTTCTCACAGGAGCTTACAAAAGTAAAATTATAAGAAAATACTTGCAGACCTATCAGCAAACCAGAATGTTCGTAAGCATTAATTTGCACAATAAGCGATGAAAAAGTAGCAAAAAACAAACAGCAGCAACATGAATCATTCTAAAATTATGATACAGTATAGTAGGAGATAAAAACTTAAAGATATTAAAAACCATAAAGTTAAATTTAAAAAAACAAACCAATTATGCGTGAATAAATGTGAAACAAAAAAATAGCAAAAAATATAGATTTTAGTATAAGCCTAAAACTGTGCAATGTTTGATGATTGATATGCAAAACGAAAGCAACAAAGGTAGAAAATGATAATGATTAAAAGTAAATTGATACAGCAAATTACACTGCAGTGTAATTATGAAATGCAAGAATTATATAACCAATAACAAGCTAGCAGTACCGATTATGGGATGGATGTAGGATAGAAAAACGAAGAATATGTAATGCTCTGCAAAGCTTAATAGCATTATGCTGTTTGTGTTCCATGAAACGTCTTTGCATTTATACATACAAATACATGAAAATACATAAATACATACACATAACCAATTAATGTTATTTTATACACCACAAAAGTATGAACTGTAGACGTTATAATAGTATTTGAAAGTTGCTTATTGCAAGCAATCTCATTGGTGATTGTGTTCGAAAAATGCATTGTAACTTTTCACACATTCAGTTTATAAGCAGCAACAACACTGCACAACGTAGAAATTGCTTAAGGACACACAGTGCTTAGTTAAAATATAATAAACATAAATTTTAACTATAGTCTTGAGTTTGCTTCGAAAACGTTAGGAAATAGTTGAAATCATTTAAGTTGTCCAAACATTGATAATGCTCATGTGGCAATGTGGAATGTGAAGAAATCATACTTTTCGTTAAATAAATCGATTTTTCTCTTATGTATCCTAAGTAGCAGTTTTAATGCTATAAATTTTAATAAAAAGTATAGAAACATGAGAACGAGTTAAGGGGTTAGGTGTAGTCAGATACATGAAAAATAACTTTTCCACCTCCGGGATCAGCAAAGTGTTTTCCAGATTTTCATGAAAAAACTAACAGTTAAGTGTGTATTAAAAATCGAAATAAAAAAAATATATTATATATACATACATTTGTATATCCTTGGACCAGACACTAATTTTTCATGTTTTCATATGAATCTGTATAAATCAGATTTAAATCTACTGAGCGTTTTCAAATTACAGCGCATTTGAAATTTTATGTACACCCGAGAAGCCTTACCGAATAACTCGAAAAATGCTTGTCGGACTTACATCAAATTTTCAGAGAATATTTATATGATATTATATTTTATGCAAAAGAAAATTGATTTTTTGATAACTCTGTCTACCCCTAACCTCTTAATAAACATATGAATCCGTACAAATAATTTTTAATATTGATTTTTTTTTCCACGTGTGACACTATTAAATTCTAAATCGATATCAAAGCGCCAAATCATTTAATTGTATCATAATTCAATGGATATTGAAGTATCGAATATAGTGAAATATATAATATCTAACGAATAGAATGTTTCTTTGTCTCTCTTTTGTTTTTAAAATCTAGGCTTGAAAAAACAATGCGAAGAACGAGAAAATAAAACTGTTGTTGGCTTAATCATAGTTTCTATTCAAGAGTTAAAACCAATAAAGTCACTAAAGTAATGAATCAAATAAAGTAATATTCTGCTTCGTTATAGCTAACATAAAGATGTAAACAATGTGTTCTCTTTTAAAATTACAATATACTTGATTTCGAATTAAATTTTCAATTTTTAATCCCAAAATCAGAAATAAAAATTAATAAAATAAAAATCGTTTGAATGTGGAAGTTTGCCGACCAGTGCTCTAGTGTACTGATAGCTCTGTGCGAGGTCTTGCACAAAATGATAGAACACGAAGTATGCAAACGCGTACATGTTTTAATCCTAAAACAATTTCTTTTTTAATTTTTAATTATATGCCTGGGATTAAATTTTTTTTTTTATAATTTTATTTACATTTTAATTAGGTTTTTGGGACTCAAAATTTTATTCCCGTGTTAGGAATAAAAATTTTGTTTTTATTTGCAATCCGCTATTTGAGATTAAAAATTATTTTTAATAAACATTTTTGTAATTACATAAAAAAAAAATATATATATATATATAAACAATACATTTTTTAATGCATTATTTGCAACCCTTTTCCGGATATACTAAGAATAAGCGAATGTGTTGTTTAGATAATTCTTAAATATTGAAAAATTTCTATATTTCTATTTGCCAAATTATAAAAGGTTTTAAAATATTTTATATGTATACTTTATTTTAACTGACTATTTTATCTTGCCGAACTAAAGAAATTATTTGCATAGATGCGTAAATATGAAAACAAGCAAGAGACTAGTTTTGCTAAGACATTACAGACTTCAACGACTGACCGATATATGAACAATTGAACAAGAAACGCGTATCCTTAGCAACAGCAACATTTACTTAAACATACATACACATAAAAAATTAATCTATTTTTATATAAAATACTTAAAGAAAGTAGATAAATTTAAACTGAGCGTACGAGTATTACAAAAAAAATTAAAAATAAATAAAAATAAAACTAAAAGAAACTGTGTGTGGGGTATTTACACTAATCTCAGTAATAATAATATGAACAAACTCACTTTTTGCAATTTATTTACTCGTATGTGTAAATGGAAATTGTACTGCGAAATGCTTGTTACTGTGGTCACAAATTTGCAAAGACTTATGCTGACATGAGCTTCAAATGAGTAACTGCTAAAAATTAATTACCATTTTACGCTATTATTTCATTAATTGATATTTTAAGTTTCATAATTCGATTGACTGAAGGCATAAAATTTTAATTTAAAGTCGATTGGCTCAGTTATATTTATGATAGCATTTATAAAAGCCAAAAGTGGTTGTCGCCTAAAATTAGTAAACTATTATTTTCTTTTCACGTAAATGTTAAAAAAAAAAACTGATATTTTCATATTTCCATGTACAATGTAAAAATGATGTTAAAAAACAAAAACAGTATATGTACACTAATTTTACCGACATACCTGTTTCAAGCAGCTTCAGCATTCCTTTTTTAATTTCTACAAAAACAAACATAAAGCCGACAAAATAAAGAAAACAAACTACTACTCTACAAACAATATTTTTTTTTCAATATGCACTACATACCAATTTGATTAAAATCCAATCTTGTATTGCAAAATAACTGGCAATTATAACCAAAATCATATATATGAAATGCAATTAAAAAGCGTTCGCCACTAAAAAAAAAAGTAAAAAATATCGATACTGAATAGCGGAGAAATATGTATGCAATGTAGGTAAACAGCAGATCTTAAAACTGAAAATAAATCTGCGGATATAATTTTGATCAGAAAAGTGAAGCGGTTTGAGTAATATATTGCTGCTTCCTTTGAATGGGTTTAGTGAAATAAATAAATGGGGAATACAAGTTAATTAGGCAGTATTACCAGCGTTAATAATTAAGCATGTTTTTACACACGAATGAATGATTCAGTGTTGGATCATAATTAAACATATAGTAATGGTTGAATTTTTCTTGATGGCAGATCGAAGTGAAAATGGTAGGAAAACAGTTTGAGGAATTTATGAAGGAATGATATATTATGATAAACAAAAATAAACATATTTAAATTATAACGAACAAATTGACTTTTATTTTATTGCGGTTAATTTGAAATGAACAGGAACACTGGTATTGGTCGTAGCAATTTAGGTTTTGCTACTGTTATTTTCATCTGCTTCCTCGTTTGTTCTATCGAAATTGATTGTACGAAAATTTAAATTCGCTTTAAATTCAGGAACTAAATAAAGTGCCACCAAATTTTCATTTTCGTAAATATGGCAGAAATTCGTCGTGAGTAGAATTATGCCTGAAATTGTTTCAAAGACAAATTAAGTTTTACATTGGAAGTCTAATGCAGTTTCAAATATTGACGCGATATTGCTCGGAAAAATAGTTTGTGAAAACAACAATGAAGTTGTCTAGTTCATTTCAATGCAAGGGATTATATGGGCATATAATTGCTAATGCTAGTTTATGTTATTTTTACCAGTTGTTTCTTCGATAAGCCAATCACCAAGTTTTCATGAATCAAAGATCAAGCGCTATGTTGCTGTAATATATCTTTTATTTGCTATATGAGGTGCCAGATTGCAATTGCAATCATTTTTTACTAATGAACAAGATATGTATATTTTAAAAAATATTTATTATTCCTCTGTACTTATATTTATAAATAGTGTATATGTAAATGTAAAAGCATTTATAGTTTACAGATGTGTGACCTACATAAATCGAGGATGAAATATAAACTAAATCAAGATTTTAATCACTACGCTATGTATATGTATATTGAGTTTTAATTTTTTTCTTTAATCGTGGAAGGTACCGCTAAATTTTGTATCGGTATAATCATATTAAATGGATACTGTAGTAGTTCAGCGCATGATGGACGCTTTTTTGGATTATGTTGTAAGCAATTTTTTGCCATCTGAAAGCGATAAAAGCAATAATTAAAATTTTGTGTATATACATGTGTACAGTTGCGATTTTTTTAATTGAAAAATTTTGTATTAAATATCCGATTTTAAGATTTTTACTTATTTTTTGGAATTAAAAATTAAATTATCAATTTTTAATCCCAAAGTCAGTATTAAAAATTGATAAAATATAAATCGTTTGAATGTGTAAGCGCTCTAGAGCATTGTAGATGATGCCGCTATGCGAGCTCTTGCACATGAAGTACGCAAGCGCGAACAATTTATTTTTTTATTTCTCATTATATATTTGGGATTAATTTTCTTTCAATCCGGTGTATAGTTATAAAATTTATTTTTAATTATTAACCCGGTTTTTCGAATCAAAAACATTTTTTTTCAATTGGTATTTGGGATTAAAAACATAAAATTATTTTAAATTAAAATTTTCGGAATTACAAAATAAAACTAAAATTTAATAAAAAATATATAATAACCATCGACGATGTGCTACTTTACTGTTCTTTTGTCAAAAAAAAAAAACAGTTATTCGGTTAAATTCGATTCAAGAACTATACCCTAATGAGTGTTAACGTTTCACGGATACATATTGTTTTTTGTCATGCAGACAATTGGTAAAATTAATTAAATTTAGTCAAAAATATTTACGTGCACAAGCATTGCTGGATAATATAAAGGAATTGTAGGATATTCGATGTTTGTGGTAGGACTTGTAATAGCATTTATTTTGGCATATGTATTTTTGATATGCGAGAATGGAGTGCGCTTATAAAGCAGCAAGTATAGTATGCATCCAAGAGACCAAACATCAGATTTCGTTGATATCTAAAAACATGAAAGATAACTAAATAAATTGATGTCGCTTTCATATTAATCTACATTTTTAATTGCCAACAACCTTTATTTTTGGTTGATTGCTGCGCATCGGGCTAGATCCCGTTGATGTGTCGGTTAGTGCTTCCGGACTAATATAATTAAATGTTCCGGCTTGAGAAAATTTTATTATACTTGTTGAGTCCAGTGCAATGTTACTGGCAATACCAAAATCTATTAACTTCAAACGACCATTTATCATCAGAAAATTTGCTGGCTTCAAGTCAGAATGTATAACGCCTGTACGATGATAAATATAGAAAAATATTTTATTTTATATAAAGTATTGCAAATTACCATTTTGGTGTATGTAATTAACCGCTTGCAACATTTGATACCAAAAATTCATAAGTACATATAGGGGCAAATTCGTGGTGTATGTCTGTAAAATTTTATGTAGATCCGAATCTCCCTTTTCCATAACGAGAAAGAGTCGTGACTCATTACGCAAAAGTTGACTGTGAAAACAAAAAAAAAAAAAGTAGAAGAGTAGTAGTATATGAATTAGCAAGTTTGCTGCTTTTATTTATACTCACTATTCAAAAAGTGTCACCACACAGATGTTTCCTTGAAGTTTTGCCAATAGTTTTGTTTCATTTAAATAACCTTCAACAACAACTGGATCACCACGCAAATCAACAACCTAAATACAATACCAATATGTATAACTGTTTAGTATTTTCGAATTGGTAAATTACCTTTAGTGCACATTCATTACCATCTGAATTTCTTTTTGCCAAATAAACGGAACTGGAGCCTCCACAACCGATTTTTTTTATGATTGTATAATCAGAATTATTAATGTGCAAAATACCATTATTTTCATTCGATACTGAACTCTTTGTGTTAGGTGGTTTCTTTCCATCAGGCTCCTCCTGTTTATCTGGGTTTGAAAAAGCATTCTCCAGTGATTTCTTCGATTTAACATTTATCTGTTGCTTATTTACATTACTTTTCTGAGTATTCTCTTGTATATTTTCGGTAGTTTTCGGCGTGGTTTCAGCACCATTTATGGAATCACAAAGTGATAATGTAATACTATCATTGGGTAAACATACAACGTGTGGACGCGTTATAGCCATCGGCGTTTGAAACAGTACCTTCTGTGAGCGGAACTCATTTGCAATTGCCGTACGCTCTTTTTGAGACTGCGTCGAACACAAGCCTCGTGGCCTCCGCTGTACTGAAAATGATCGAATTTGGGGTGTAGCAAATTGCGAGTCAACAATATGGTCATTTGTAGAAGCTGCTGCAGGAATAAGTGCTGTGCTGTTTGGCCGAAGTGGTGTTTCTAAATCTGAGTACTTTGAATTTTTCGGTGGTGTAGGATTAGAATTAAAACGTTGCAAAACACCTCCAGCACAGTTTTCATTACTTTTACGGTCAATATTTCCGGCAGTGTTATCGTTTGCCACTTTATCTTCCTTTATACTTTGTAGAGCGCACAAAGTGACTGGTCGGCTTAAAAGTGGCTTTCTTGCGGTACTAGCGGCATTTGGTTGTATATTTTCAACCACTGCCGTTAATAAATCTTCACTCTTATTTATATTTTCCTTGCCTTCAGTGTCTAAGGCCAATTTATTAAAATCTGTAAGAAATGAGAGATTACCAGCAGAACGCTTTTTCTTAACGTCTGATGGCGGGCCGGGTGTTTTCAGTACAGAGTTATCCGCAGGACTCATGATAAAGGAATCATTTAATATAGCACAATTAAGATTATCAGTATTGGGATTTTCTTCTTCTTCGGACTCATCTGAATCGAGGGTGGGTAATTCTGAGCAACGCTTGGGGCTAAATATAATATATTAATATTTAACATAATAATTGTTTCTTCTTACTCACAACATTCGCATATTGCTAAAAGCTCCCAATACTTTTTGGGGAGCTTCTTTTACAGCTAAATAATTCTTCGATGCGTTTTTTTGAAGTACATCTGCATTTTTATGCCTATTAAGAAACGATTTTTAATAATTTTTATTTTCATATTATGCAAATAATCTCAATACTCCTGATTAACATCTTCATCGTCAGAGTCCGGTTCTAAAGCAGGTAAATCTTTTACTCTACGTGGATAGTGAAAAGACATTAAACTGTCGCAAAAATATTAAAATCGGAAATAAAAAACAATCCAACTAAAATAACACAATTTAAAGAATCAAAATCAAAATTAAAGGAATGACAGTTGATAATGCTAACTAGACAGAGCAGAGAAAGGAAATTGCGCTGTCTAGTGGAAAAAATTTTACAGTTTGACGGCCTCTTTAAATGTTTTGAGAAAATTTATTATACTTGCAGCAGAGAACATGTAAAATTGGGTACTTGGAATCAAAACACGTATTTGAGTATTTATGGATTGCTTTATTTTATATTAATATTATATTCATACCATTGAAGATTATCTACAAGATAATTGTAAGAATTATAATAAGTACTAAACATATTGTTTAACAACATTGATCTGATGTTATCGAACATATGTTTCTTCTGCCGCTAAGTGCGAATGACTTTCGAAAACAGATTCGTAAAACTACAAATCGGTAAACAGGAAAAAATAAAAACTAGAAAACAAATAATAGTAGAATAACTTTCTTTGTGAACGTTTAGCCAATCAACGTAAAGCGAAAAGGTGCATAAAAGAAAAACAACTAAAAATAAATAATTGTAATCAATTTAATTGTTTTTCGGAGCGATAAGCTGATGCGCACTTAAGCCCATTGAACGGTGTTGCTGAATCACAGCCGTTGCTCATTCATATAGTCAGTTTGGGACACAATTTCAACGCAAATAGGGTAAAAATTTAAGACTTTAGTGGAAAATATATATGTGCGCTATTACACTTTTTGTAAAAACTTGAATAGAGTGCTCAATACATGAACATGGGTGATAATCGTGCATCTATTGCATCAAGCAACGCTACAGCTGTTGTGGGTGCTGGCAGTTTCGGGAGTGACACACAAGAGCTGCTAGATCCAGTATTGACTTCAAATGCAGATGGAAGCTTTAAATCTCTTAGAACAATACCGGCTTTTAGGTGAGTTTTAATATTGATTAAAATTTATATGTGCGCACGTATGTTTTATGGAGTTGATGGCATTCGGGACATCGTCTGGTTTAGTAATTATAAAATATAAATTTAATTGTGCAATCCCCTATAATTTTTATTTAGTATATACATACATATATAATTTTTTTTATATAATATATTTGTAAATCATGACCCTGACCTACCCTTCTGAAATTATATAAATAAAATATATATAAAATCGTAATATAGCACACGTTTTCTGTTTTCACAGCATTCATTTGCTGATTTCAACTGTAATCTCTTTCATTGGCATTGTGCTCGCTTTTGCATGGCCAGAGGACAAACGCTGTGAAGCGTATTTTATTATGCTATACTTACGTGCAACTTTTTGGGTGATAACCTTTGTAAGTACAAATTAATGTAGTTGCCCACATAAAGTTTCCCAAACTCCTTATAAATTTATATATGTATAAATATGTATAATATATGCAACATTTTGTTACTGGCAGCTGTTCGATCACTTGATTAAAAAACATCATGACGATTTACGCATGAATGGCTATCATGAATTTCACCGTGCTACGGCCATGCAAAAGAGTATACCACTGAATGTGGTATCGCTTTGGAACTCAATGCTATTGGCTGTACAAGCGGGTATTCATCACTATTATGGCGTAAATTTCTGGCAACATTGTGCGGAAGGTTTTCTCTCGCCGGTCTCTTATATTGCAGGTTTCAACACTTTAGAGACACTGGTACTGAGCGCAACTCATGGTTGCTATATATGTAAGCATGCTGAATTATTTTAAAATTATATCTATACTTGTTCCAACATATTCGAACTGTTTTCTTTTGAACCAAATAGCAAAAGTGCGGAAATTTAACAAATCCGCACCACCACCCGATGCGCTCCGAGGCGTTAACAGTGCATCCGGTTCGTTGGGTCTAATGCAACCTGGTGGTAATACTACTGAGTTATTAGAGAAACAGGTAGTTATATTTTATTAAATCTTTAATAGAAATATTTATTTTGCTTATAACATTTTAATACAGGCCGATCTCATTGCCTACTTAAAGGACCATAATCAGAAACTAAATCAAAAGTTGCACCAAATGCAGTTGAATGCGCGCACCGTTAACCTAGCAGCTTGAAGTTGAAACAGGTCCGGAATCACTAAAATAGACTAATCTAAACACGAAACGAAAGAGTAAATTAAATTAAGTAGTATTTCTCTTTTTTATTAATATTAGAATTATAAACCAGTTTAATCTTGAAATTATTGCGATCTGTATTACTACATGTTACTTACTACCTACTTACTAACTACTATCCCCGTATTATCGGTTACTAGTTTTTAATGTTTGAATATTTTCACAAAGAAGAATTTATCTCAAATTTGATATTTTCTAAATTTTGTTTGCATTCAAAATGAGTATATGCTATTTGTTTTAATTTCTATTACTAATGTAATTTAGTATACTGTATATGAAATATTCTATATATTCGGCAAACTTGGACTGAAGTTTTAAACTGTTTAAATAAAGCTATAACAAAAAAGTTTTATATACGAAACACAAATTTTTTATGCTTGTCTATCCAATTATTAGTGTTCGAGAGACCGAGAAAATTTTTTTTCTTCTCCATAACAATTCTCTGGTGAAAGCGAACGACGAACATAACGATGAAGAGTAAGTTTGCAGTATTTGGCAGAATATATCTCTGGTTATATTCGGGTCATATATGCTTTTGTGGTCAAATTGCTGTTCGGTAAGTTTTTAGGGACTAAAGTGTGGATTACAGCTTTCTCATTATAGACGAGTTGTAAATCTTGATTTTATCATCCATTTTAAATACTCATAGTAATTAACCAGTTGTCGAATTTACGCCTCACCAAGCGTCGGAATACGTCGGATAGGGAATGAAAAAGTCGCAATCGGGTGCTGATTGACAACACAGCCTTTCCAAGAGAGTAAATTTAAATATTGGGTCGTTCACTAAGTAATTTGGTTTTTTTTTTAGTGCAATTTAACACGTTTTTTTATTGTTTAAAACATTTTATGAAATTAAACAAATTTAATTTTTCAGCAATCTTTCGAGTTATTATTCGACGATTCGCATCGACCAAATACTTTATTTTAACCACATCGGCTTCAACAGGTCTTCCAGAACATGGTGCATCCTCAAGACGGAAATAGCCGGAACGAAATTTTGCAAATGAATATTGGCATTGGCGTTCGGTCAACACATTTTCTCCGTATACATCACATAACTTCTGCCTTGCTTGAACCTTATTTTTATGCTTTGATAGTAAAACAATAAAATATGTCGAAAATGCTGTTTATGATCTTCCATCTTCGATAGAGCACCAAACAAAAATTATTCCAAAAAAAATAAAATATTTTACAAACAAGCCTTTTATATCAGCTGTTCAAATATATAACTGTAAAGCGGTTAAATGTGAAGTTGGCTGCGCAAAAATTCAATAAGATCAGCTGTTGTCATCAAACGAAATTACTTAGTGAACGACCAATATGTTATGATTACATTTGGCATTATATTATATTTCACCGTAAAACAAATTTATTGTTAAATTTTATTAACAATAAGAAATATAATTTTACATCAAATGCTGATTAATACAATCTTAATTAAATAAAAGATATTTAATATCCAGAATTGAAAGAATAATTTCATTAAAAATAATTTTAAACTATATCATCACCTAAAAAGTAAAAGGATACGCCCCTATGAATGTATTAAATAAGCCACAAATGCAAAATTTCAATATACAATAAAAATAGCTAAAAAATATTTATTTCCGTTTCGTTCCGAGATTTTGCGGTAGTTCAATAACACTCAAAGTTTTATCCTTAGCCGTTACTATTATCTGAAAAAATTGAAAAAAAAAACTAGTTTAGCAACTTTGCATACAATATACAATAAAACAACGACCTTATTGCTGATCACCGTTAGGGTTAATATGTTGCCGGCACAACCAGCATAACGGCCACAATGTCGTTCCTTCGTCTTATCAATTACATAGACAAAACCATCATATGAACCGACGAGTAGAAACTTATTTTGATAAAGCCGCATCGACACTGCTCCACTGCCGCAATTTATTGCGGATAAATGTTGACCAGTCTGTAGAAAAATAAACACATTTTATTATTGTTTTCACTAGGTTTATAGCGAAAGTCTTCTTTTGAGTTTACTTACCGTAAAATCAATCTTCAGTATATCGCGACGCTGCGTGCCACAGAAAATACAACCATCATCCAATAATAAACTATACGCCTTCATTGCGTCGGGCAGGTTCAATGTGCGCAACAATAGTCCTGAAGATGCGTCACGGATTTGTATTTCTTTCGATTTAGAGGCTACAATGAGAATTCGACGTGGGCCCTCCTTAGTCGCTTTGATGGCGGTTATTGAAACTTCTGATGATGAAATTGTGGAATTGTTCAAGTTGTTGGACTGAAGAGAAAAAAAAACATATGCATATATTAAAAGTGAATGTTGATGGTCATATATGGATAGGTTCTCATGGTCCTGGAAAATTGGAAATTTTTAGATGATTTCCTTACCACTACCACTTCTATATGCCTTTAACAAATAAACACCTTCTTAGGGAACTGTTTCAGTAGCACTCGAGAACTGTGGGCCAGGTAAATAATACAATGTTCTTACTAGTAGTGTCGAAAAAATACCTTTCGGTTTCTGGAATGATCTTCACTCCGATCAGCAACACTAGGGGTCTTAAAAAAATCACACCTGAATGATGTGCTATATGCTTCCAACAGTCAGTCTTTTACTTTTTTCTGCTCTCTTTGTCAAAGTTCATACATTTCATTTTGGACATCTTCGTTATGCTTTTGATACATAAACTTTCATTTTGGAAATAACGCTACATCATATATGCGTTAACTTTTTGATTTAATTCAAATTTTGTTGCAAAAACAAGTAAAATGGAACGATGTACAGACGGAACTAAATACTAAATATTCTCACACTTTACAAATAAGTATATGTAAACAGTACTAAATATGCTAATTATAATGCCGAAATTATAACTCTCTCTTTCTCATATAAGTCACGAGGGTGGTCCAATAAGTATTTTAGTATATGACCACTCGTTGCCGCCAATATCGCAATATATAATATCGTGGAGTACATTTTGGTAGGTTCTCAACTGTAAAAATTTCTGCAGACACGGATTAGGTTTTTTTTAGACCCCATGTGTCCACGGATTTCAGAAGAATGGAAAAAGAGTAATCGTGGTCGGTGATTCGCTTCCTATTTTTGCCAGAAAAATGACACTGTATAATCAAAGAGCGATGAAATGCTATATACGGTGACTCTTCATATTGTTGTTGTTGCTGTTGTTGTTGTAACGATTACCTAGTCCCCGTTTGGGTGATAAATTCCAGATTCGTAGTCGTCGAGGTCATCTAATGGGAGGCCCAGAAAACAAGCTTTTTCGACGGGGTCAGACCATAGGGAGAAGAGTGTTAGATGAGTGGGGTTTGTTGGGCATGCAAAGAAGTGGTTAGTGTCATGCGGAGACTCATTGCACGCAGGACATGCGTTTGGTATGTCGGGGTCTATTCTGGATAAGTGGGAGTTTAACCTGCTACAGTATCCAGAACGAAGTTGCGTGAGGGTCACTCTGGTTTCGCGAGGCAGCTCGAGCTCTACATCTGCTAATGGTGGTGGTTTGACTTGTAATACGCCATTCACTGAGAGGGAGTCGGTGAAGGTGTTGATGGCTCCACTGTGAATAGCGGTCAGTGCCTGTCTGAAGTTCGATGCGTCCGAAGTCCGGTCGGCGTACTGTCTAATGTCGTCGACGTAATCAAGAAAAGACCTCTTGATGTTCCTAGGAGGCGGCTCCGCTACAAGCAGGCGACTACAGGGGTGGTTTCTACGAAAACATCCCAGCAGAAACTGCTTGGAGAGGAGCTCGTTATGTTCCTAAACCAGAAGCATACGGGCCTCACTGTGTAGCTGTTCGTTTGAAGACATCTAGAGGCATCCCGGGACAGTCCGGAGTGCAGTGTTGTGACAGGTCTGAAGCTTTCTCGTCTGCGTGGCACTGCATCCAGGCGACCATATTGGGGCTGCAGTGACTCTTCATATTCGTTGGCGCCCGTAAAAAATATAGAAGCCAAAGAAGGCATACCAAGCATGAAACCATTGGCACTAAAATGTTTAATGGAAACATCCTTATAATAAATTCCATTACTCCGATGGTCTTAAACTCAAAAATATAAATAAAAGCTGTATCAATTTAATGACATAATTTTTATTTTTTCAGAAACTTTCTATGTTTAACATCAACTTGATGCCACATGGCATCAATTTTACTTAAAGGAACAAAAAAATATGTAGCGTTGTTAGTGAGTTGAACAGAAGCGATAGCAATTACTGATTCTGAAATTTAAAACAATTTTATATGACTTTGATGAGTCAGACATCTCTGATTTACAAGACTCAGAGAAATCTGATTTATTATTAGATTTGTATGATGCTTTTGAAGGGAATAAAAGCTTTGTAGATGAAGAGTTATCTTGCGAAGACCCTTATGAAATTATTGTCGGAAATCTTGAGGTACATAATATTTTAGCTGTTGAGACAAGTGGTGATGAGAAAAATGTTGATGCTCCTTCCGAAAACAAAAAAGACGAAGCGAAAGGGTTAAGCCAAAATTGCGATTATTCGCCTATAAGAAAAAAAATGAGTATGTTCTTTTAAATTCGTAACTACCAATTATTACTTGTGCATATTATATTTTTGAAATTGAATAATAAAAATAAGTTTTATAACCTACAACATATGCACTGCAGATTTTCGCCAATTACATGAATGCAATATTTGCTGATGACACTGCTATTTTAAGTTCTGGGGAACTTTTTGTAGATATAATCACTAAATTACAATCAACTCTTAACGTTTTGCATAATTATTTCTCCCAATAGAAGATTCTTGAAAACCTGCAGAAAATACAAGCCATTTTTTTAGTAAAAAACGCAAAGTATGTCACTTGCCTCAGAGCTGTGTTGCACCAAGCAATGTTAATGTTCCTTAGAATTAAAAAGGAAAATATCTCGGCGTTATTCTTGATACAAAACTAATTTATAAACAACACGTTCGTATATTACTAACGAAATAAATATTTTAATTAAGACACTGTAGATAGGTAGGTAGGAGTGCTGTCCACAAGGACTCAATTAGCACTGAACGCGCCATTTTGGTGCACCATCGTAGGATCTTATACATTAGCTATCTTGTTTCATCGTTGCGCTCAAAACATTTGGTGCCCTTAATGAAACTACTTATGTCCGTTATGATTTTTGTGAACAACCATTCAAGCTTTGGTGCCTGATGGATTCCAAGTATTTTGTATCAAGCATGTGATAGAGTCGGGCATTCACAGAGAAAGTGGAAGACCGTTTCCTTATTTCCTTCTACCCTTCAGCTGCGGCAAACACTGTTATATGGCAGGCCGATTTTGAGCTCATGCTCTCCAAAGGGCCAGTGTCCCGTTATAGTGGCTGTAAGTCTATATATGTATACTATTTCCTTATCTTGTGTCCTTGGTTCTATTTTTGTCATACTAGGGCCATATCTGTATTGTTATCTTGCAGTTTGGTATTGATTTCCATCTGTTTAAGACCCTGTACGCTTTCATTAATCGTAAATCCGGTCTAAATCTCTTACAATAAACTGCTCATTTTTAAATAAATTTTTCAACCCACACGGTCTGGGCCAATATTGCACATTGTCATTTAAGAAAATTACAAGTGATGCAAAGCAATATTTTAAAAATGATACTGAACCTCCCCTGGCACCATTTCACTGTGAATCTGCACATTCAGGCTAAATATAGAGCTAGTGTCGGACAGACTTCATAAACTAACGCAAAATTATTACTCTAAATAATGTAATTCAGTTTATCAACACATAATTGAACTTGTTTCTAAACCATATTGTAAGCTTTTATTGTATTAATATTTATTTTTGTTTTCTTCAAATGAGTTTTTGTCTTTAATTTTGCCCTCTAACTATATATTGTCACAATTAAGCTTATATCATAATAATCATTGTTATAATTAAGTAGATAAGACAATTATGTTTAAACTCCTATTTTAATTATTATAATTTATTAGTCGACACCACTTTTGTATACTTAATATTTGTCAATAAATGAATGAAAATAACGTTATTGGTGCGACCAATTTCTTTCGTACTTTAAGTAAAAAGGCAAAGACCCTGACACGCGGGATCTGTGGATATGTAATTATTTTAATAGGCATCATATATCAATTAACTTCTTTGGGTATCGTAAATGACTAAAACTGTTCTATGCATGGCTTATTAGCCTACTAGACTAACCTAACCTATACGGTTTAACAATATTTCGTCCTTTCGATTAACTTTGTATGTGCAGTATCGGTCAATATGTTAGATATCTTCTGGATTTCTGTTTCCTTGGTTGTCTATACTTATGTATGGTATATACTATATCTTAGATTTAACTGCATGGAAGTTTCGAATTTTGATTACCTACCGAATGGTGGTTCAATATCATAAATATATTTATTTCAATAAGCACATACATTTGTACATAGTATTTTATAAATCATTATATAAATACCATATACGTGTATATAAAACAGTGCAGCCATTTTAGAACTACAAATAAGCTGTAGAAATAAAGATAAGCAATTACAGCTGGTGGTTGTTATAAGCGCATGCAAGTTTTGTGTTTATTTAGTGGATGCAATAGAAATTCTTAAAATAACAATGCCGTCAAATATGTGTGAATATGTAGGTGCCAGTGAGCGCTGCACTGCATATTGCAAGAAATCTGATTCGCTCGTAGTAGCCAATGAAAATGAGAGAAAACTCCCACGACGGAATTTTCCAGACGAAGGGGAAGTACCACACAATGAAAATAAACTAAGTAAAGAGTGGAATTCGGATTTCCCACTGCAATAACTGCTACATATATATTGTAAGCAATAGGTGAAGAAAAGAATAGCAACAGACAGGCATTTGTTCTGGTGGCTCTAGGTATCATGGTTGTATATGATATTGAACTGTAGTGTATAACAAAAAAGTTTCTTGTGTTCTATTATTTCCAAAAAATAAAAATTAATTTATATTCGATACATAAGTCTTGCAGTCGCCGCCACAGCTGCAAGTTCACGACGGTTAAATCTTGGCATGCGCACAACAACGTTGCGTTTCCACTAGAAATGCAATTTGGAGAGAGATAGAAAGAATCAGGCTAGAGCGCATCATCATCGGCCAAGGTGCTCTCTTATGAGTCGGAACTGTTTTTAACAAAGAAAACATACATTACCGTAGGGATGGTTCCGTTGCATTCAAATGCATTGTCCAAATTCATTGTTGTCGGTCTCGTAAAAGTGGTGCAATAGTTAGTTGTTGCAAACGTAAATGTATATGCGCCATTTTAGTTGTAGGGCAAGCTTACAAAAAAAAAAGTAAAACTAAATTATATACGCAAGCACATTCAGCATAGCAACGCCCTGCAATATGGGTTGGTCCCAATGAAGTTGGTACACTCCCATAATAGCACACGTTTTGTTGCAATTTCTTCGTTGCAAAATGGGTGTGCTAAACTATTTTTTTGTAGTTTTCAGTGCCTCTAATCACACCAATATTAGGGTGGAAGCATTCTATATGTACTTACATATGAATGTATATATTTCTATATGTTATTTAAATCTAGAATTGCATGCTACTTCATCCTCTTTTAAAAACGCGATATAATCGAAGCGAAATGACGGCAGCTCAGAATGGCAGTTATAAGCACGTCACGGTAATAAATTACAAATCGAATCTTATGAGTCTGGCATACCAACTAATTTAAATCGATTGTGATGTATATAAAGTGACTGGTACGAAAATTGGTATATAGTGGAAGTAAACAAGAAATAATGGCAATTATGTTTAAGAAGCAGCTGAGAAAGTTTTGTTTGGTTTGAGTGCAATTAAAATTGCGAATTGGTACATTGTTTGGAAAAATGTCTTAAATTGGAAAGTAGTTTACCATTATAAAAATAAACGTATAATAATAAAGAATGGTGAAATTTATTTGCAACACACATATCTGCGTATACCATAAGTTAATAATAAACAAGAACAACTTTGGCTGCATCGAAACTATAAAACCATTTACAAATATAAAATATTTCATATAAGGACTTGAATTTGACCGGTCAATTTGTATGGCAGCTCTAAGCTGTAGTAGTCCGATCTGAACGATTCTTCAGAGATTGTACCGTTTCGAGCTAAATTTCGTGAATACCCCATTTCTAGTCAAATAAGAAAATTTTAACACAAGAACTTGACCTTGATCGATAAGTTTGTGTGGCAGCTATAAGCTGTAGTGGTTCGATATCGGCGGTACCGACAAATGAGCAGCTTCCTTGGAAGAAAAGGATGTGTGCGAAATTTCAGATAGATATCTCAAAAACTGAGGAACTAAATTGACTCAGCTCGACATGCTGATCATTTATATATATAATATATTTGATAAGTCCCCAACGTTTCATACTGGATGTTAAATACTTTGGCAAACTTAATATACCCTCTTCAGAGTATAAAAATATGTGTTGGGAAAAAGATATTTTATCATTTCTACTCTGTAAACTTACTGTAATGTCATAAGTGAAGATGTTGCCCCATCTGCTGCCGATGAAAGCTGAACCCCATTGACCCTCAATACATTGCAAGGGCTCTTGTAGGTATACGGATTGTATGTCCAAAGCAAAGTTCTGTAGTAAAGAGAAATTAAATACAATATGGTTTAATTATATCATAATTAATTTTTATAGAACTACATTTCTAATACTTTTATCCTACTTATTTAAGAAATAAAATGGTATAAGTGTCAATATTCTGCGTCACCCTATTTTTATAATCTTATGAATGTCGTTTAATCAGAATTATTTTTTGTGAGATAACGGAAAGTATTCCATTATGTTACTTATTTTTCTATGAAGCCAGCAATTTTCTCAAACTCTGAAAATACTATAACTGTAAAATGTGGAAGGTAAGTTTGATGCAGATATTGCGAGTATTGGAGTTTAAATTTCCATTATTGCCAATGAAGCTCTCCTTATAATGAATTAATTTCGAGGACACAGCTTTTTCGTACTTGAAAACTTCCTGTAAGCTATTCGAAATTTAAGCACTGTATGGAATGCCTATCTTAAACCAGAAAAAATTGCCAACTGTTTTAGAAAGAGCATTGTTATGAAGACGACCTTCTTTCATTATCGGATTTGGCTGCATTGGAGCCTTCAGTTAAAAAAGTAGCAAATATCGAAGCATCATTTGAGGACTACGTCAATGTTGATATTAGTGCGCAGATCTGCGACAGAGCGTCCGAAGAAGATATCTTCAGCGACGTTCTAGAAAGTCGTCGAGTTCCATCTGTACTTGGTAAATATTTATCTTTGCATAATCAAACAAACATGTAATAAACATTATTTTACTTTTACATATTCAGCTAACGATGAAAACGATTTGGTTGTTGAAGAAGAATTGGCTGATACTGATGAGGCATTACCTACATTATCACAAGTTTCTTCATTTATTAACTTAATTAGAACCTTTGTGGAGATGAGGTGTTACGTAACGATTAATATTCTCAACTCTTTAAATGATTTGGAAGGTTTTGTTAAAAATGAAAAATGGAAGAGTGTAATCCAAACTAAACGTACTGATTATTTTTAATAAAAATACTAAAAAAAAATTTAGTTTCTAATTAATGAAATTTCTATATAGTGAAGTGATTTTCAGGTCCCGAGCGACTTCACTATAGGAAAGTTCGACTGTAATTGTGTTTACTGTGACAGCTGGTTTGACAGTAGTTCATATAGGAAATTCTACACCTCTATGTATTGTATATATAGGTATGCCTCTGAATTATAATTGATGTTTGATGATTGCGTTCATTGATTTCAGCTGTAGAATTGAAGTATTCATAACACTGTATAACGCTCGGCTGGGTATTTATCAAACCAATTTTTTTTCGAGGAAATGAGTTATAAGTAAAAAAGTAATTTCTTAAGTACTTTTCGAAATAGAATATGTTTATATTTTTACTTTTTTAGTCATTTACACACTCTAATTAATATTTGAAATAAGCTTAATTTCTAACTTCGAAGGCAAATATTTCAATTTTGGATGTTAATTTCGCCTTATGACTCAATCTTTTGAAAAACATTGATTTAGTTAAAAAAAAAATTGTTTTTATCATATGAATATTTGAACCTTTATTAATAGCGATCGATATTTTATTATATATAAATATTCTGAAATCGGCTCTATTACTTGTACATCTCAAACCATCATACCACACTGCTTTAATAACGCTAATAATTGCAAGTCATAGATTTTAACTTACCTCTAAAGACGTCTTTTTCATGTATCCATCCAGTGAAGTGGTATAAAGCATTTTCTTTTCACGGCACAAATAGGAATGTGTAATAGCTTCGTTATGTTTGGAGAATTCTTTTTCCAATTTAAGAGTTTTGGCATTGAATTGATATAGACGACCATCTTCACCAGTAGCGACCAACCAACGTTCATAGAGATGTACTTGTGTCAGCGAGCTTCTAACAGTAATCGTAGAGACGGGTATATCTACGCCATCAAACGGCGTTTCTATATCACTAAAATATTGTTCCATATCAGAAATCACAGTACACGGAGAACGTTCACCCTCACGAGTGTCACCCCTTTTGGGCGACTTAAAAGAAAATGCTGACGTTTCAGCGATCGTTGTTGCGTTAGCTATATTAGTTTGAGATTTGGGCTGTTTATTAACGTTACGTGTACCACCTAATTTGCGAACGCCACCACGTTTGCGTGGACCACGTTTTCGCTTTACAGCCGGCGCATTGGTATCATTAACCTTCCGTTTGCGTTGATTTGGAAGATTGGTTTGTATACCACGAGCTGTTGTTCTTATTGAGGTACCAGGTGTGCTAGGTGCTGCTTCTGTGTTTTGTGCTAACGCGTTTCGTGATGATGGTCTAGCTTTAGCTGCTGTTTCACGTGTTGGCAATTCACTGGCAGCTGCCGTCATAGCCGTGTTAAGTAATAAAAATTTCTCATTTTGCAATTGCATCGTTTGCATATCCACTTCCATTTTGTCCTTTTGCAATTTCAGTATCATCTCTTCGATGAACATTTTACGTTTATGCAATTCCATCAACTTCATATCGAATTCGCGTAGATTATTCACAACGAATTCACCTAAAATGTTTCTTTGTCGCAATGCTTCCAAATCGACATTCGGAAATAGAGAGCTTGACATCAAAGATGGTATCCTTGAGATTCCACAAAGCCCCGTAATGCCATTTTCGTATCCAATTAAAGGATTCGCAGCACCAATACTACTGAATTTGTTATCGAATAAATGGTCTCTTTGCAGCGAACGTAAATTGGTGGGAGATTGTAATTCACTACAACTGCTTGACTCACTCAAATGCGTACGCGAGTTGATGCTTTCAAAAGATATATTACGCGAGCTTTGCTCATTTGAAGCCACACTTTCACAAGTGGTGGTAGCAGTTGGAAGCTGACGTGTCGCCACACTTGCTAAAGAATCTTCTTGATTAGTGGTGTTGTTGATTTCAAATGAATTACTACACGCTTCGAAGTGTGCATTTACGCCTACTTTATGCCTTTCACCAACCGCATTATCGGTGGTTTCTGCATTGCCAGCACTTTTTGCTCTACCACCAACCTCCGCTCTTTTGCTCATTAATGTTTGGCCATTCACACTTTGATGTTGATGTTTCGTTGGTGTCGTTGAAGGAGTCGTCGACGTTGGCTTTGATTGCATACAATTCTTTGCAGCATCAACTTTTTCTGCTGCATTGGCACTTTTCCGATTGCTGTTACTGCTTGTACTTTTTACGGCCACTGTGGAAATCCCATTAGCTTTGTCGGCTACCATACCCCCCTCATTCGTTTCGTGTGTTCTTGTAGTTTCTACTGTCGATGTTTCGTTTGCATGTGGTTTAGCAGCAGTTTCAGTGTTTCTTCTTATTCGATTGCTGCCACGTTCCTTTTTGGCAGCTTCTTTTTGCTTGTTGAACACATTGACAATTTCGCGCATCAGAAACTCCAAAGCGACAGTACGATCCTCTGACTTCAGATTAGATTGTATTTTTGCTATTTCAGGTTTGGTAAACTTTTTGGTATTGTATTCACTAGTGCAGATGCAAGATATGAAATGTAGGCGCGTGTATGTTGAGTTTGAAAATTTATGGTGGTAACGACTTTTTAAATTCTCACTTAAATTGGGTAATAGCAGTTTTTCAAAGCTTTCGACAATATTTTGTGCATCTACTCGTAGCTTTAGCCGACGTCTTTTCACTGAAGACGAAGTGCTTTTAGTCGAAGACTCAGTATCAGAGCTGCTGCTCGAACTGGACGAAGACGAACTACTCGAAGAGGATGACGAATCAACATGTATTACTTCTTTGTTAACTTTTTTCCGACTACTTTTACGCCCCGTTGGAATTCTACGTCTTCTTGCCTTCTTTTCCTTTGATTTGTTCTCAGTTTCTGTGGTAGTCGGATTTGCTGTTTGCGACAACTTAGGACTTGTTTGTTCATCGTTTATTTCTGACACTTTCACACCTTCAACTGAAACATTTTCATTTTGTACCGTTATGTCATTTTTCGCAACATTTTCTGTTGCATCAATACTGTCTGGTGTGGGTTGTACCGTTGTAGTTGATGTTTCAACAAGGCTTTCCTGTAGTGGTGCCGCATTAATTGGTATCGGTGTACTTTCTTCGCTTGTCGTTTTATTGCTCGTATTAGCTTCTTCTTGTGTATTAGATACTATAATATCTAAAGCTGCATCTTGTAGCGCATCTGTATTGTTATTACAGAAAATCTCTATACCAAAAGCTTTGCGTATCTCTTCTAAAACTATATCTGGTATACATATCGCATCTACAATATCATCCGGCACGAAGTTCCCACTTTCGTCATCCTTCGCTGTTTCCAAATTCATTGACTTCAGCTGTTTGCGAATTTCTTCACGTAACCGTTTGCGTGCCTGTGCCTTTAAGGCCTCATCAAAACGCGTACCACAACTATTGATCACCTGCTTGATCCCAAACTTATCCATACCGGCAACTTTTTCAATCAGATTTTCTGTGGTACCACTTGAATTACTACAAGTTGAAATTTTTCGACGTCTCTTTACAAGATTCGGTCGGCAAATCCGTTTATTCGGTGTAAATGTGGCCAACGTAACAGGAGGCACGTCCTCGATTTCCGTTACACTTGAATCGTCCGTTAATTCAATTAACTCATTTCGTATAAGTCTAGAAAGTGGTATTATAGAGATTTTGGGTTTTCTTGGGTTAGTGTCTTTAATGGGAGAAACTCTACATACGAGTTCGGATATTTCTTCATCATTAATTTCACGATTTTCAGATATATCTGATGCATTAAGATCGATGTCAATACAAGGAATATCTGTTGTCGTAGTTTCCGTTATGTTTACGTCACCACTGCCAACTACTATGGATTTTATATTTTCAAGATTATCATTTATTTGTGTGTCATTATGCTCGAAATGTGATTCCGTACTAAAAGTTATACTTTCTTCAGAATCTGGTTTTTCATCTGAAATATCAGTCTTGTTTTCTTGCTCAATAGATCTTGAATTTTCACCTGGAATGGGTGCTTGCGGCGTGGTTTCTTGTAAAGGCTGCTCTAACGTTAAATTCGTATTTGAAATAATCTCGGATTCTTTATCATTTACTTTTGATTTTTGTTTCGTCCTGTCAATGTTAGTATTTATTGTTTGTTTCAATTTTAATTTGGTGATTTCTTTTTTAGAAACTTTTACTGAGTTTTCTGAGTTTTTAACTATAGCGGCGTCCTCATTTAAATCTATATAATCCTCTGCTTTGGTTTTGTCGCTTATATCGTGACAAGTTTTAGAACCTTTATTTATAGAGCTGTTTGTTTCCGTTCCTCTACTGTTTTGGTCTGCAATATCTTCTATTGTCTTATTTTTTTCTTTTTTATTATCTAAGCTTTCTAATGCTTTATTTTCTTCTTCATTTTTTGTTGTATTTTGTTCTTTACATTTTTCAATTGGATTAAAACCGCTAACTGTCAAATTCTCAACTCGCTCTGTTTCGAGTTTATCGTTCGTTATAGACTGTTCTGGAGGATTCTCCTCACTACAATCGGGAGTTTTTTTCTTGACACTATTTGATGATGTTTTGTTTTTACCTTCAGTTATATCCTTAACGTTAACTGGTTTTGTTTTCGACACTTTTTTCCTCGGTGATGATCTCACTGCATTTCTTCTGGGTTTCTCAGTAGTCTTATTATTTTCTGTTGTTTTTGGATTTTCAATTTTCTCACTGTCAGTTTCATTAAAAGTGTGTGTTGTGTTTGTATGTGTTTCAACAGTATCATTTAATGATTCTTCGCTATTTTTATTATTTATAGTCGACGTAAGTTCAGCTCTTTTCTCAGTTCTTGCTGTTGCCGGTGTGTTATTATCTATTCTTTGGGTATTAAAAGTTCTCCTATCTACTTCATTACAATATGGCGAAGATGTATTATCTCTTCTTTTTCCTGATTCATTTGGCCAATAATTCGAATTAGGATTGTAATTATTATAATTGTAATCATTCGTCCAATGGTTGTTATTTCGACTATTTGGTCCGTTATTAAATCTATTTTGGTTCCATTGTGCTGAATAATATGGAGATTGATCCGAACGCAGCGAAAAATCGTAGTTTGAGCGGTGATATGTATCTGAGTGATTTTGATACTGGAATTTTTTGTTAAAAATATAACAAAAAATATTAAAGAAATATTGTGTTTTAAAACTTACTAATAAATTCAAGGCATTAGTTTGAATCCTTACCTTGTTTCGTGGTCCCGCTACAAAATCCCTACGCGTAGGTGCACCATAGTTGTATCTTCGGCTGTAAATAAAAATAAATCTTTTAATTTGTTGTTCGTAAGCAACAAAAAAGTTACTGCTAAATGTTATAAAATGCTTAAAAACTATATTAGCTATATTTTTATTTAGCCGTGTATCAAAAGAACGCTCCCTCCCGGTTTAAACTTGTCTGATTATAGAGTGCTAAGTGTAGCAAAAATCATAATACTCTGTTAAGAAAAGAGAAGTTCGGAATATACATATGATACATAATCTCGAAAATTTTAATATTTTCCTATTCGAAGGTCTAATCACATTTTACGATGATTTTCTAAAGATAAATCACTGAGAATACAAAAGTCTTCACTGTTAAAACAGAGTGATATTAATAACTCAGTTACATATATAGAAAATAGTTTTTGATATGATTAGACAACAACTTTGTTGAACATTTTTTACTTCACATTAATACCAATTATGTAGACATCTTACTTTATACTTCTTTAAGTTTTTCTTTTGATAATTAATCCATTAAATATTTTAATTTTATCACCTCGAGCTGTTAATTTACAATTAGGTAAATGAAATTTCGTGTGAGTAATTTTTTCTCTAATAAAACCACATCGCTGATATCTTGTATGAAAACAACAAAGGAATAATTAATGTAATTTTCCAATGTGCCACAAATTCTACAAATTTCGACCGTTACCGCTCGTGGCACGTGAACAAAGAAGGCTCCTTTGATAGCACCTACTTATACAATGGTATATGCATACAAGTACATACATACATAGGTATGAACATGAAACACAATGCAAAGCAAGTCATAAGAAAAAAAAAGAAGAAACAGCGATAAACTTAGTAGATTTAAAATTTATAACCTCAACAAGTCTGTGCAATATGCCAGCAAAAAAAGTTTGACATTCCAAAGTTCGAAGAGGCAAACGAAGTGTCGCTTCGCTAAAGCAAAGATTTTCACGTACGCAACCACAAATCTCGTTCATTTGCACCTTTCTTAACTAATTAAAAATTTTGCTGTGAATACATAATTTGACTACGAGAAGGCTTTGACTTATGGAACATGGAAAGGATTAGTTAAATGCGTATAAATATAGGTTTGTGCATGAGTTGTGGAATAAATAATAGGTTAACAAAAATATATTTTAATATATATGCAAATAAATATGAATGAATGCTTTCTGACTCTCAGTCGAGCATTTGTAATAGAGCCATGCTAAGTATAGCTTTAGGTATCATAAGCTAATTTAAAGTTTCGTTTTGACTATTTTTTAACAACTTCTAATATCTCGCACTTTTTGGTAAAAAAAATATCTCAAAAAGTCTAATTGTTTTGGTTTTGTTATTAGTAAAAAAGTATATTGACTTCATCGAATAGAGTTGGTCCGTACGAAGAACCATGGGATATTCAAAAAATCAAAATTTCAAACTGAGAGTGAAATGAGCTACATAGTCGTACCTCTTCGTAGATATTACAGCATACTAGAAAAAGTCATTTGAAGGTGCTAAAACTAAGAGACAAACAAATGGGTTCGAAAGATAATCATCACTGGGATGATATTTGATAAGTTGGAACCCTATATTTTTATATTTTGATGAAGTGATAGCCAAACAAGGAGCGAGAGAGTTTTATTTAAGATTTAATTTATTTATATAACAAAGTATGAGTACACTTCCCTAAGACAGTTCCATAAAAAATTTCTACATTGACACCATATTTATATATATAAAATTATGAAAATATTTCTGCAAAAACCGCTATGAAAAATTTTAAGTCCAATTTTATTTGCAATACGAAGAATATTACTTGCATTACTTTGAAATTGAATACTGTTATCAGGAAATTATGGACCACTTTAGATAGAAATATGTATCTGAAAGTTGAAAATATTAAACAGACACACTTTGAACATGTTTTGGTTGACCAAATTTTTAGTCAATATAATGCCGCAGATATGTAAACATTTTTTGCTTCTCTAGAATTCTAAGTCCAATGCATTCTAAGTAAAGTGCTGCTTGTATTTTTATGTAACACTGTAAATTTCAAAATTTTTCGCACATTTATAATTTTTTCCGTTTTTCTCAACCAAAAATTAATATGCAGGGAACGTGTGAACAAAACTCAAAAAATTTATTTGGTGCTGATTGTAAAAGGATTCTTTTGGCCGCCTAATTCACACGCATATTTTTTCTGAATTTATGGTAAGAAGTTTTACGTTTTCACTAGAAAACTACAATGAGTACATAATGACTTGAAATGTGTGCCAGTTAAGTGAACAGCAAAAAGTCACCGTCGAAACGATCCAAGAAAGAATTTAATTTTTCAACTGAACATTCAAATAAAAAAACTCTAACAAAAAGGACAGTGTTTAATGAACTTGTAGGCGTGCGTGAGCAGGTTTCCTTCTCATTTGTAGAATATTTGAAAGTAAGCAACGAGTATAACAAAACTGATTAGACGTGGAAATACTGTCACACAGCGAAGTCAATTAAAAAGTCTCTGTCAAATACGTGACTAAAAATATTTGTCAAGGGGGGAAATGTGTTTATACAACAAACAGATGAATTATTTCGGAAAATTACCGAGAAAAGTAAAACAGTTGGTATGGGTGTCGAAGATGTGCTTTACACTAAGTATTGGCGCTCAACCACTTGATTTCGGATTAAAAGTGCCCTTCGCAGACATTAAGAAGTGTTTCACAAATATTTTGGCAACAATGAACGAAGATAAGTAAAAATATTACTGACTGCTTGAGTTGTATTGCACGAGAGAAATTTAATAAGTCCGTGAATTTTTTACTTGTAAGATTTTTTTCTTGCAACAAAATGATAATTTCAGAATATGAGGAATGTTACAATAGATAAAATAAATGGTAATTTGATAGTTGTAAATTGTAAATGGCAAAGCCTTACCGTCGGACAACTGTGTCAACCATCCCGTTTTTGTTTTTTTTTTAATTATTCCGCAAGGAAAGTTTTATGTAAATCAGCCATTATTCCTTAAACTTCGTGTCTGCCGATTTCCAATGCAATTAAGTTTTGTTTGACGTCTTTCACAATCGTCATATACGAGTATCATTCCAAATTTTATTGGCAGACCACTTTATATTCAAATCCAAACAATATTTTTTGTGATTTCATTGAAAAATCCTCGAACATATAATTAGCACCCATCCGTTTTTTACTGGCTATGGGTGACTTTGTATTTTATCCCAAATTAAAGCTTATTCGCAGAGATAAAGAGCAAAATAATTTAAACGATTTGATTTGTATTTGTGATCGTATGTAGTGACGGTGCTAGAAATGATCGAGGCTTTGGCCCAATTTTCTTCGACGATAAGGAAGCAGAAAATATACTCTGTTTTCAAGCATGCCTATTTTTCATGGTCATACAGTAGAAACCATTGACATATCACACTGAAATCGTATAAGTGAAAACGAGAAACAGCTTAAGTCATGCCAAGAGCGTTAAGGTATTTAAAGTGAGGATGATTTTGCTTAGCTGCCTGATTTCGTAAAAAATTGTAACAGCTAACTTGCCACAAAGCGTAAAGAGCGTGCAACAAACGCCACAGTTGACATTAATTTTGCGTGTAACATTGAGTTTTATGAGACTCATAAATATGAGACGAGCACGCAACTCTTTTACCATACATAGCTGCTTTCTTGGATTACGAAGTACAAACTAGAGGTAAAGGTAAGAGTGACATACATACAAATGTACTGATATTGAGATTGTAAGCAAATGAGGGGGTGGCTGCAACGAATTTAGCTTGTCGTGAGAAACTAATTGTTGCTTGTGCGTAAAGTAATGTTTTCCTTGATAAAATAATATAATTGTTGTAATATCAACAGTAACAAAAACATATAGGAGTTTGGAAGGGTTGAAGTGCAACAGCTTGCGGTAATTTTCAACTTTGTGAGACAAGTGTTTTCTCATTTCGTTGGTTTTAATGAGCGCAGCAACTTTCTTTTGTGTTTTTAGGTGAGTGAAGATGCTTTGGTTCGAAGGAGTACAAGAACAGGTGGGTTGAATTTAGATTGGCAGTAGTATTGCAAGTGTACAAGCTTAAAGCAGCGTAGTAATTAAACATTTGCTAAGACACTTAAATTACCGTTTAATTGTTTTACGCAAAAATTGCTTTTTAAACTGATATGATGCGGAAAAAATGGTGAAGGCGACAAAACCAACGAAATTTATTATACAAACATTGTATACAAAGCTGATAAGTGCTACTAAATTGCTTGCTCATGCTTTATTAAAGTGCTACTTTTTTATCCAATTTAGTGCGGTTGTCTGCAGTGTTATATCGAGCACTGTTGACAAAACGCAAACGCTAATTCGTGCGTTACTTGAATTTTTAACGAGTTATGCATTGGCGTATTTTGCTTTTGTTATTTGCGGCTATTTTATTTAATGCAGTTGCTTTAAAAATTTTGGTAAAAAAATATTTGAGAAATTGTAACGGGGATGTAGCTCAGATGGTAGAGCGCTCGCTTAGCATGTGAGAGGTACGGGGATCGATGCCCCGCATCTCCAGGAGTTCACGTATTAAGTCACGTATTAAGACCCCCTATTTCGACCTTGTTAAATCCACAAAAAATTCTTTAAACACTTAATTAAAAGCAGAATTACAAGGACGATTTTTTGTTACAGGACATTATTGTGCGGTGAGCCTTACTTAAGTTGTCGAGAAATCTAATCGGAAATTGACTTGACCAGAGTGCTATTTTAGAATTATAACAGTTTTATTTCAAATAAAATACTGAGAAATTAATCAAATCGCTTATATTTAGGTTACTAATACATCCTCTACAGTGCAAGTTTCATTGATAAATTAGAATTTTTGGCTTTTGTTGTTAAATTAAAAATATTCAGCATATCTCCAAAAAAAAAGTTGTTTAATGAAGTCAATTCACATCATCAGTTCAAAAAATGAACCTACTTAAAAGATACGCGAATAATTTCTACGATTGCTAAAAATTGTTTCGGCGAGATCTTTCCAAGTTAATTTATCAAGGTAT